CTGATGCGCCACTTTGGAAAAACAGTTTGACACTGTCTTCGTTAAACTCTCACATACCCCGTGACTAGCGTTTCTACCCCCAGGTCCAAGAGAAATTATTATACAGGGGCCCTGGGAAGCCATGTACTAGAATGTTCATAGTAGCACTTTTCATAATAGGAAAGGTCTCAAAGTAGTTCAAATAAAGGACAATCGGCAGTATAGTCACACCGTGGAATGTCACATGGCCATCAACATAAATGAGCTCCAGGGGCATCAATCAATATGCATGAATCTTAGCAGTAAAATTTTAAGTAAAGAATGTCCTAGAATATTATATGTAGCATGCTACCTTCTGGAAAAAAATTAAGCCATCAAAATTTTAAAAATGCTTTTAGGGTTCTATGTCAAATTAGATACAACACTATTAAAAAAACAAAAACAAGGAAATTATGAGGTTTCAGAAGGTGGTTATCTTGGTAGAAAAAAAATTAGTGAATGGGACAGGAGACGATTCATACCTAGATAAAAATTTTTGTTCGAGTCCTACCTTTTACATCGAGCAATGGGGCTCACGGGTACTTGTTACATTATAATAAACAAACAAATTCATAAATAGTGGCTCTGCATGGACCAAGGAGGGCAGTATTCACTGACCTGAGGGTTATGATCGATCCACTTCAGGGTGTGTCTGGGTTCTGAAGAGAAAACGGAAAAATTACACATTCGTTGTGAATCATTTAGAATCTCAGCAAAGTATTTGAAGGGTCATCCCTCATTGTACCACTCCAAAGGTAATCATTATGAACATTTTGGTGCATTTTTTCCCATTTTTCTAATTCATATTTTCTAATAAAATAATAACCCTGGTATTTAAAAGCAATCTTATTCTCGACACTTAATATTATATAATGTACATATTTCCCATGTGATAATTTGACACCTAATATTAGATAAAGTACATTTTTCCCCATGTGATAAAATAATCTTTGAAAATGTTTATAACAGCTGAATAGTATTATGTTATACACATGCATCAAATTTATTTGAAGAAGACTTTGTGCATGTATTTTGATCGTTCCAAATTTTTTATTATGAATAGGGCTGCGATACGCATTTTGCACATAAATCTGGGTGCCATCTCTGATGATTTCCTTAGGATAAATTTTTTAGTGGAATCAAGGTGTGAAAAAATTTTTTGAGTTACTATTACATATAGATAAATTGGAGGGCACTCTTTTATTTGAGAAATAAATGGAATAAGATAGTACATGTAGCCCTGGCCAGTTTTCTCAGTGGTTAGAGCATTGGCCCTCGGACCAAAGGGTCGAGGGTTTGATTTCCAGTCAAGGACATGTACCTGGGTTGCAGATTCAATCCTCAATTTGCATAATTGCCATGAGAACCTACCAATTGCACATGGCTGTATAAATATTGCTTAAGGCTCATCTTCATAAAAACAGAGGCAGGATAGCCTAACCCAGTATCCTCCAAAGTAAAACTCATATGCCACCGATCTGAATGTAATTTTAAATGGTACATGGACAAATTTGTTTTTTAATACTTATGTTTTTAAATATTATCAGTGTTTAAAGTTACAAATCCTTTTTCCATTAAAGATGTTCATATAAAGTTTGCTTCCAAAATAAATTGAAGTTTTTAAAAAGCAGATGGGTGTAGGGGTTAATAAGAGAACGCTAACTCATTCTGGAATTAGGCAGACTTACCTGCCCCGGCGCTGGCTGGCAGTGGGGCCGTCCAGGCTTCCCTCCGTCCACACTCCTCCCCTTCGCAGGCTCAGTCGGACTGGTGATCCTACCTGGAGTTCAAAGCTCTAACTCACAGAACTTAAGCTATGAGCTCACCCCATAGCTGCAAGGGAAGCTGTCCAAGCAAGACTGTATCTGATAACTCTTGTTTCTTTAGTGGCAATTCCATGGTCTGTGGGGCGGAGCCCACTTAACGGGGGGGAAAAAAAACGGAAGAAAGCGGGTTGGGCAGACAAAGCCAACACTTTATAGAGGAGAAAACCACATTTCAGAGAAGTAACTTGCCAAGGTCACACACCAAGCAAGCGGTTCTGCATTTACAAGATCAAATCCTCCCTATTCTTTATATCCCCGTGACTATTTTGTAACTACCAATTAGTACTTACTTAATCCCTTCATCTTCTTCACCCAGACCTCCCCCACCAACAACCTCCCTTCCCTCCAGCAACCTTGAGCCTGTTCTCTATGAGTCTGTTTCTATTTTGTTTGTTCGTTTATTTTGTTCTTTAGAGTCCACCTGTAAGTGGAATCATATGGTCTTTTTCTTTCTCTGCCTAGTCAATAATATTGTAATAACTACGTACAGTGCCAGGTGGGTACTTGAAATATCGGGGGAACATTTTGTAAAGTATATAATTGTCCACTCACTATGCTGTACTCCTGAAACTAATACAATATTGAATGTAAACTGTAACTGAAAAATAATTTTTTTAAAACAAGATCAAATATATTCTAAGCAAGTTCTGAGAACTAGAGGTTTCAGGAAGAAATTCTGGTTCTTATATGTGAGAGAAAAAAATGTATGGGGTGGGGAAGAAACAACAAAAAAGACACAGCCCCCAAGAAACAAGGAACATGACACCCCAGTCTGAATCAACAACGTGGTGTGGCCCAAGGCAGCTCCAGGGGGACGCAGTCCCCTGCTTCTCCCAGAGAGACGAGCTGTGCAGTGTCCTTCCTGGCAGTGAGAGTCAAGTCCCAGGAAAGCACCTTTGTTTTTTCATTTCCTCATAATGCCGGCGCCTTCTCAGGATAACTGCTCTTTATTAAGTCCTTTCCACCGCTGTTCTCACGTGGCGCTTGGGCAATGCTGCGCTCTCTGCCGGGAACCTGTGCAAAGAGGTTTCTTTCCGCCGGTGGGATTTCTCCCTCCTGCTCCTCCCAGACCAGGAAGATGAAGGCCGACCACTCCGCCAAAGCTACACTAGAATGACCAACCTTATTCACACAGAATTTATAGATGAGGCTGGGGACAGCAGTGCGGTGGGAAGGGGGCACAGGACGAGGGGCTTGAGAGCAGTTGCATAGATTCTAGCTAAAGGTTGCTCTTGTGTTGAGTTTCCACTATGAGTGTGAGCTCGCTGCTTGGACGACAGCCATCCTTGGGGATGAGTCCTGCTATTGTCCCCACTTTACAGATGAGGAAACTGAGGGGCCAGTTCAGGCCACAGAGATTAAGGAGTGCTGCCGGGGTTGTCATTTCATCAGTCTGGCTCTGGAGTCTGCACTCTTAACTGCCACATCACACATAATAAAGGACTAAAAACAGATGTCCTCCCCTAGATCCCCTGGTGCCATCTCTAGAACCTTCCAAGACTTCTCTTTCTCTCTTCGGTATCCCCTCCCTCCCCACCCCCAGCCTACTGTACGTAGCCAGAGTGTTTCTTTAAGAATCCCAACTGCTAAGCCTGTTTTCCCATGAGTAAGATTGAAATCACAATGGTTCCTGGCTCAAATGGTTTAGAAAGTTCTAAGCATATGGTGAACATCCAATAAGTAAACATTATGGTGACAAGCTGAGAGAATTTAACAGGTTTAGAAAATACAATCTTCTTTATTTTTTAAATGTTTTTATTACTTTGAGAGAGAGGGTGAGGGAGAGAAACACCGATGTGAGAGAGAAACATGGATCGGCTACCCCCACACGTGACGACCGGGCCACCCTGGCCAGGGCCGAAAATACAATCTTAAAATGAGATGTCTCTGGCCTCATTCATCCAGAAATCTCCATGACTGTCTTACTAACAGAGGTAAACCAGTTGCTTATCATTGAAGCTCTCTACCTTAGAATGTCCAATTTCGAAATTTCAGGTCTAAAGAGAACCATTTCTGCCATCACCACAAAGAAAGCTCAGGAACCTTGGGCTGGAGACCCACAAGAGGGCCCACCCAGCAAAGCATCTGTATCCTGGTCTCACCACTTGAGCTCTGCCCACACACACGTTCATTCAGATGAATAACAGCACAAAAGAAAGCACACAGTGTATTCTTCCATTAATGGGGTTATTCATCGGGAAGGGAAGAGAAGAATAAATGCTGCCCATGGGAACAGGCAGTTTTCGGGGAAAAGACATTTTTGCTTGAATGTGCTAAAAGTTTAAATAAGGAACAATAAATTATCTAAGTCAATAGTTTTTCAACTGTGTTCAATGGAGCCCTGGAGTTTTGCGAAGGCACCTCAGAGGTGGCTCTGAAGTTAGCAATTATCCCACTGGCTGAACGTTAACTTGCAAAGGAATGGAGGTCCCGAGGCTCTGAAACAGGCACCAGAGCCTGCATGCTTCCCAAAGGCGTAGTCCATCTAGGACACGTGTGACCCTGGCCGAGTCACTTCCCACCTTGGCTTGTGACTTCTTTTCTATCCAATGAAGAGAATCGGTGATGTGAGGATCACAAAAACCTGTTCACTCCCGTTCCACAGGGAAAACTGCGCCATTGCTCAGTCACCAAAGGTGGACTCAGAGTCAGATGCTTAGAACTTTGAGTCTCAGTTTGCTCATCTTTAAAGTAAGCAATTACCATTGAACAGTATTGACTATTATTAGGTGTTTCAAGATATGAGCTCAGAAACCCTGGCACAGTACAGATGAAGAGCATAGTGTCACAGGACCTAAAGCGGCTGCTAACAGAAAATGACCTCATGGGAAGTAATAGGAGAGAGCTTAGTGTTACTTTTGATGGTGATATGGAAAAGACAAGAGATTTCATTGAATGTAAGTAAACTCAAAACAAACATGTCACCAGTATTGACACTGTGAGTCACTAACTCGACTCTGAGGGTCCTGGCCCCTTGCCGAGCTGTAGAACTATTAAATGTATGCTTGTGTTTCTATACCCTAAGATGTTGCCCAAATTTCCTCCCCTGGGGTAAAATATAAGTTAAAGGGAAGATAAAACAGTGAAAAATTTTAAAGATATCAAAGTATAAACATATGCAAAGTGAGGCTAAAAATTCAAATTAAAACTAGACCAGAATATTTACATGTTTTATTAAATCTTTACAATCAGTAATTATAATCAAATACACATTTATATACAAGGATTATATACATTTTGCCCAGACTTTTACATCACAGTACATAGTTTCCCTTAGAAATATTGTATACATTTATCACCGAACAATAAAATCCAACAACAGTAGTGTTACAGCACCTGTTAGTACAGACATCTTTTTCATAAATTACATCATAAGAAAATATACGGCTGTAAATTGGGCTTTTAAAAATGTCTTTTATAAAATCCGAACATACAATATTTCATTCACAGAATGTTTTTTCTATGTTCTGACTAAAGCCTTGTGCATAAAACGACCGGTTGGAATATTTACTAAATCCCCCCACCTCTAAAATGATAATCACTATCTCAATTACTTATGCTGAGCTTTCTTTATGAGTTTGGCATGGGGTTTGGTGAGAGAACAAATGCTGGTTTTACTATAAAAAGGGCTGTGTGGTAGTAATTCAAATTAAAACAAATTCTCAAGAGAGTATATAGGGAAATTAAAATCAGAGCATGCACAATTTTTCATTTTACTCTTTAATACTGTGAAGAAAAGTAAAAAGTATAATGTCAAAAATTACTTGTTCTGAAACAACAATTATATTCTTGTTGGAAGCCTATTAAAGTTAAAAAGAAAAAAGAAAACTACCCAACAAAATATCCCACCCAAACATACCTAGTAAATTACAATCCTTTCACACCTCAAACTTTATGGGAAAAGTATTGCAAATCAGGGTATATCATTTCAATGGACTTTGATAAGCAGAAAAACTACAGCTATTTTTAGTTGGTAAACAAGTTAAGTTTTAAAACTTGAAAATACCTGAATTAAATATTTGCTCTAATATCTAACTTTTAACTTTCAGATAAAATCCTTACTGATTCCAGGTTTGTAAACATTGTATAAACCCTTCTTAGAAACAACTCTATGGCTGTGGTGATCACTTCAGCTCCATCTCTATGCAGGCAACATTTAACTGAGGTAGACCAGATGTTTCTAAAATTCAGGGTCTCATAGAATCCCCTGAATCTTTAGGAAGTAAATAAAATCCCGATAGAAGGTATTTAAAAAACAAACATAAAAAAACCCTAATGCTGTTGGAATTTTTTAATGAACTCAAGAACAACTTCATGGCAGTATGTCAAATAAGAAATGTAGACTCAATTGCTATGTTGGAGTTTTAAAGCCAAACATTATACCTTCTTTTCTTAACTGGGGGGGGACAAATCAAGTATAATTCCTCCTGGGTGTTGAGTGTAATTTAATTTTTTTCTCTCCTGTCTTTCTTTTTAAGGATTCATTTTTCTAAACAAGTGAGTCATTTGCTTCTAGACCTCAATGAATGGCAACAACTCCCCCTAATGGCCACAGGAAGGTAGAGTGGCGGTAAGCAGGCTTTTCCTTGTATGCCACAAAAACCTTTGCTGGGAAAAAAAAAATGATGTTGTTTTGATAACTCAGATAAGTGGGATTTAGACAACAATGGCTCTGAGCTACAAACAAAATCAAATCACTACATATAAGGCTTCTGTAATCAAAGTCTTAGAGGAACATCTGCTCCCTTTCTCCATGCCCCAGTCTTATAAATCAAGGCAAGTCAAGTAATTAAGCTTCAGCTATTTTGGCAGCTTTACAATTAAGGTGAACAAAAGCACTATGCCTATCCTTTCGTGTACTCTATGTATTACAGTTCTAGCTTCGGACGCCAAATTGCACATGCAGTGACTAAAAATATCCATTTTGGTGTCAGGTTTAATTAAGAGCCAATAAAGGTTTTGTATATTATTCTCCCCACCCCCCAAAGTAAATTCTCTATTAGATTTATTACTCACTGACCCAATTAAGTTTAGCTGGAATTTGTGAAAGCAGCTACTATCCCCTTATAGAAGAATATGTTTTCCTGGATCTAAGACACACTGTACATGAATATACACAACTACAATACAGCACCGCTGTTCTTTCAGCAGCTCCATATACACTTCAGTTCAAAGTACCTCAAAACTGAGGAGAAGGTTAGCATGTAATGTCATGGTAAAGAGAAAGAAAATGAAGTCTCACAGAAAATACTCTTTTAGAACTGATTCAGGTAAGTTTTAACAAATAAATAAAATGAATAAAGCCATGATTTCAACTATAGGGCTGTGTACAAATATCAACAACAAAAAATTAAAACTTAAATGTGGCCAGCGCCAGACTGCCACCAAAAAAAAAAAAAAAACTTATTAAGCTCTATGGCTGTATGTTAGTTGCTACTGTGTAAGTTTTTACACGGGTTACCATAGACTAATTTTCAAGTCCATATCAGAAGGAATATTTGTTTAAAAACAAAAAGCAGACATAAAAACCATGATTCAATGATTCAAGAGAAAATGTGACAGGCTCCTTAGGTACAACTTTAGAAACCATAGTTACCCCAGGATTTTTGGATCAATACCACAGTCTGCCCATGGCTTCCTAAGATACAGAAATGGAACACGAGTCAGTAAGCTTCGGTGACGGCCTTGCGACTCAAACTGCATACTAAACACGGGAGGGAGTAAGGCTGCAGGCAGAGGCCATCACCTCCAACAGAAATGAACTGGAAAGGTCATCACTGACCCTACAAGGACCTAACATTAAGTTCCACTTCAGAGTAGTCACAGCTTTCCCTACGGAAGGCCCAATGGCGAGTTCGTATTGCAACATTATGGTTTCCTCCTTGCTCCATTTTTCAAAATTATTAAGTAACAAATTTCCCAATATATTATATGACCTTTTTACCTGGCCCCAATGATTAGTCTTTATGCACAGAACTCACTGAGAAAGTACACTGCCTCACCTTTGGTTTAACTGAAAAGGGCATTGTTAAGAGGGAAAAGTCAAGTCACCTTGAGTATCTTGTTACACAATGAAGCAAGCGAGTGAGGAGCCCAGACTGTTCCCACCGCGGCCACATTTGCTTCAGAACCACTTAGGTCACTTTGAGTGTTTCGTGAAGGCAGCACGACCAGAATGCCCACAGTACGCTTGTTTCCCAAAGAGCCTCGAACCCAAACCTAGAGAGCCGAGCTCCCTGAAATTAGGAAGCAATACAAATTCCTCCTCCCCAGCCCACTACTAACCGAATTTTATTCCTCTGTCCAGGGCCTGCAGAAGCCTGGTTCCTAGGCTTGTCCAGGCAGCTTCTCCTGGCCCGAGGCGCTGCAGGGTGGTGCGCTGCCATCTGAGGGGACTGTGAGTTTCCATTTCTCATGGGACAGTTTGAAACAAGGTCAATTCTAACACAGCAAGCTCCAGGCTCCTATGATAACCAACTATCCCAGTCAGAACTCGGCTGCTCATCACCAGACTAAAGCCTCCCACTGGAGAGCCTGCTCAGTATGAGGGAGTCCACTGACCACGGTTACCTACTCTTTAAATACCTACCACCGGATTCTTCAGTGAGTCATAGTTCACCCTTCTCCATCATGTCAAATGCTTCTATATCTTCATTCCAGTCTGCTAATATGAAGTCTATGGGCTGGACCTTTTTACCCCAGCTGACGTTGGGACTGGAATCTTCCTCAGTTTCGGATTGTTCCTGAAGTTGGTTATCTAAATCTGTACATTCACCGTCGAGGCTCGAGGGCGCGTGGTTTCCCGCGGGGGCGGAACTCGGGTCGGGAGGAGGAGCGCTTGCAGCATTGTCCGTCGCTGCTGGAGATGATGACTCTGGGTGAGAGTTTAGAGCACTTTCCCCAGGAGACTCCTGGTCAACCAAATCCGCCTCCTGAGAACCTGCCATCTGTTCCGCACTCTGATTCTGAGAATCATTTTCAGAGAATGGCTGTTCTTCATTTTCCGTTTCAGCATCTGTATATGAAAGAAACAAGTTTCATGAAACTTTTCCTCTAAACATCTGTACCGCGCTTGCAAAAGCATACTGGTTTTTACAAGCTAATGAAGAAATAAAGCTAAAGCAAACCATGTCAAGGCAGACCAGTGACCGTTAACGCTAAAGCGTAAAAGGCCGCCTTACAACAGTGCGGCCACATTTCCCTGTGCCTTCGTTTTGTGCAACGGGACATTAGGAAATAATGTCCTTCCAAACTGAGAGCAGTGTCTAATGACTGATAAGACTGCCTCAGTGGATATTAGTAAGTACCAAGAAATACACTCAACAATACTACTATTAAAATGCATATAAGTTTGCATTGTATGTCTAAAACTTATTAAATACCGAAATTCAGGGAAGCTTGCACATGAGACCATATTAAATAGAACTTTAAACAGCACACATCATTGCTCTATTTTAAGATAACAGTCTTTCAGAAAGTGAAATTCCCATTCAGTAAGCCATGAAAATGCAGATAATACAAAATTTTGGATGACTGAAGGGCATTAATGTGATTGATTAAATCAAGTATTTTCATAAAGACAACTACTGAGATTACTTATAAAACTTCTATTTATTGTCAGTCTATGAACTGTAAGCTATAATCACCCTAATGTCCACTGGAAGGCTGAGTAGTAGGTTAAACCCTCCTGTGATGGATGAGAGCCTGGAGGCACGTTTTTAGGGATCCCACAGAAAGTGCTGAACTGGCGTCCACACCCATGCGCTGTACCTCCAGTCTCCGAGGGTCAGCAAATATCTCCCGAGTGTTCACTGTGGGGCAGGCGCTACGCAAGGTGCTAAGGATAAAACAGGCAAAACCAACACCAAACCTGCCCCTTCAGATCTTACAGCCCAGTCGGGGAAAGCGCCATTTACAAAGAATCACAAGATAAATGGAGAACTCTGTGACTCATGTTCTGGGCTTAGAAAAGAGAAAGGAGATTTGAAGGTTTCCTTCAGAAAGTGACACCTGAGATGAGATTTATAAGATAAGTGGAGTTAATTAGTCAAAGAAGGGAGGGGAGAAGGGCCTATTCTAAAACCAGAAAAACTGTAGGAAATACAGGCATGCAGGAAGGTATGAGTGGGTGGTACATAGACACCAATTGATTAGGTAGGATTGATTACCTGACCAGGGAAGTTTAAGTTCTCAGGGTGTGTGTGCTGGGGGAGAGGGGGAGTGGCAGAGAGGAGGGGGACAGTGACGGGAAGAATGAGTGCCCACACATTCTCTCTCCTGAGCTCTGGAAAAGGTACATTTTAATGAGACAATTAGGAAAACTAAAGACGTGAAAACAGGGAGCTTGGCTGCTTAGAGCTCACTGATGCTAGGCTACCCTGAAGTAAGGGCGAACAACACGTAAAAACCTTCCAGTGTCTTTCCAGAGTGCATTAATCTCGTGCAGAAGGAGCTGCAAAGGTGTAGTGCTATCTCATCTAGAAATCAAGACTGTGCTTGGGGAAAAAAAATTACCCTCTATAGTAGCAATACCAGTTAGAAATAAAATTAAGTACCCTTTTCATAATAAAAATAAAAGGTACAAAACATAGAGTTGAATTTATTATGAAAGATACAAGACCCATACTGCTTAATACTATAAAATTTTAATGAATATATGAAACAAGATCTGATTAAATTTGCAAGTAAGTGTCAGTTCCTAGATGGAAAGTCTTAATATTTAACAAAAATGTCCCATTTATACGTAAAGCATGCAATTATACATTCTAAAATAAATCCCATTTCTACTTCCTTTTGGTTATCTTGGGGACCAAAAAGAATTATTTTTAAATTCCTATGGAAGAATACACATCAAAGAGAAATCAGGAAATTCTAAAAAGACTTAGTGAGAGGAGAGCTGCCTTATGAAATATTAAAATTTATTCACAACAGCAAAGTGTTTTATTGTTGGCACAGGAATAAACAGATTAGTGGAAAAGAAGAGCAAGTTCAGAAGCAGATCAAAGACAGAGACCAGTGGATAGACGGCAAGGAGCCAGCCATCAGGAGAGTGCAAACGGCAGCTGCAGAGGCCCGGAGGGACGGAAGGGCACTGCCACACTGCTACAGATCTTCCCTCAGGCGCCTGCTGTCCCAGCATGGAGTTCACAGTCCTGAGCGTAATGACTACATCGTTAAATTCAGGAATGGTGTACAGAAACACAGAAGCAAAAGAAGAGTGAAGAAAGTCTCAAGATACAAAGATAAGAAAATTACTAATTTGAAAAAAAAATTTTTAAATCCTCACCCAAGGATATGCTTTCGTTGACTTTTTTTTTTTTAGAGACAGAGGAAAGGAGAGAGTGAGTGAGAGAGAGAAACGTGGATGTGAGAGAAAAGCATCAATCAGTTGCCTCTTTTATGTGCCCCGACCAGAGATCAAACACACAAGCTAGGCATGTGCCCTGATGGGGAAATGAACCTGAGGCCTTTCTGTGTACAAGACAACCCTCCAACCAACTAAGCCACCCACGGGGCGAAAACTATTAAGTTTTAACAATAAAAGGACAAGGGAACCTTGGGCAAAGACTTAGCGACTGGATGTTCTGTAGTCATATCTCCACAACCAGTGTTTACACTGAAAACAAGAAATACAGAGATGAGAAGCAGGTAAAAAAGCACAATGTAAATGTCAAAGTAGAACTATATTAAAAAGATGCTCTCCAAATTTGCCGGTGAAAATAAGAGAAAATTTCATCAAGAAGATGGCATTTAAACTGGGTGTTTAGAATGGGTAAATGTTCTCAAAGAGAAAAAGGACCATGGGTTTTTAGGAACTGAGAAGGCACTTCCAGACACAGTGACTTTGCAAATGTAAAAATGCATGAGGAAACATATCACGGATGGAGAAGGGAGGGTATCGGTTCTGCTAACAAGAACGAGTCGGTGCAGCTTCCCAGGCAACGAGGCCATCTGCAGGCATACCAGTCTTTCCCCCTCGGAATCACACCCTTGCCCACAGCACCCTGCCACAGTTCACCTCAGAACACGTTTACTCCAGTCAACTCCAGCGGGGGAGACTGCTCTGAAAAGTAGCTAACACTGCCAGTTCAAACCAGGCGACCTTTCTTTCCTTCCTCCCTTTCCTCGGTCTGCCTCTTTATCAGACACAGTACAGGTGCAGCCCTGAAAACACCTAGCTGCAGCTCTCCAGGCGCTGTGGGCCTCCCTGCAAACTGCAAATATAATAACGTACTGAAATGCTGGCCTCCTTTCCCCGTGGGAAATAATACTGAGAAAAGGAAACTGATTCTTACTTGTAAACTGTTTCATCTTGGAGCTAAAGGTGAAAAAACAGTGTCCTTCGTTCATGGGCACAGGATTAGAATTACTATTAAGCAACTTTATAAACTCCACACTTTGGAAATATGGGACACACGAGACACATGGTGTCAAAACTTTTGTGGGTAAATTAACTTTTAAGAGTGACTGGTTTGACCTGAATAAGCAACAATTCCCCTTGATAAACTGCTAGTTCTTTACTTCTGAAGAATGTGTACACATTCTTATTTACAGGGGACACATCCATGACCCCCAGTAGATGTCTGAAACCACGGAGCGTACCAAACCCTATTTGTACTTTTTTTTCCTATACATACATATGATAAACTTCACCTTAAAAATTAGGCAGGATAAATAAGTAAGAGATTAACAACAATAACTAGTAAGAAAATAGGACAATTATAACAATATACTGTAATAAAAGTTATGTGAATGTGGTCTCTTTTTCTCAAAATATCCGATAACTGATCTAAGTGACTAACGGATGTGAGTGTATACAGCTAGGTGATTCACATTCAGAGCAGCGGGCAATTTAAAATTTACAACTTGATTATCTCTAAAACTTTCCATTTGATGTTTTTGGACTGTGGTTGACCATGGGGTAATTGAAATCATGGAAAGCGAAACTGCAGACCAGAGAGGACTACTAAAATAAGATATCTGAACCTTCTTGCTAGCAGACAGGACTACTGCAGATACTTCTATATTAATGGCTGGGCCTTATCACCTGAATAAAAAGGTGGGAGTGGGGCTTATACTGGGGCTTCTATTTCTGTATTCATATGTTGGAAGAATTGCTCAGTCAAAGCTATGTGACTTTATAAGGGAAATATGTATTTGTAGAGTGAGATTTTTAGCAAGGACAATTGGAGGACATTTTATTGTTCAGACTTCAAGGGTGCTATTATTTGGTGGACTTACATAATCCTACCTAGCCCCTTGAAGGTACGATATGTCCAGATACATAGCTGGGAGATAAAACAGGTGCCTTCTCAGTCTTGTTCAGTGTTTCTCAACATGTACGAGTACCTGGGATGCTTGTTTAAAATGTCAGATCATGATCTCTGCCTTCAGAGTCTGACTCAATATTCTGCAGCAGGACTCAGGAACCTACGCTTGTAACAAGCACACCAGCTGTTCTGATGCAGAAGAGAAACACGACGCAGGCAGTACTGGCCCAGGACAATGCATGATAACCACTCCCAACATTAACTTCTCAGGAAATTTTCCTAAGTGAACAATTATCATTGATTTTTTACATTGATAAATATGAACAATTACACTGAAACTTGTTGCTGGTTTAGTTAATATAGCAGTACAGTTCTTGAAAGAGCTACACAAGGGGAGTTTTTTAAGACTTTTGGTCAAAAGCTCTCTATTACAGAATCACAGTTCAATAAATTTATAGACTATCAAAACTTTAAAATATATACTGTAGTTTAAATAAAGCCCCTTTACTGCAAGGTTCTTAAGGAAATACTGTTCAGATAATTTTTTGGTAACAGTGGAATTTATCTTTTCTTACATCCTACCTCTGGTATGGGAAGCACATGGTTTTACACAATCTCATAGTCCTAACCCCATGCACCCTTATAAACATACGAGTTTTTTAAAAAGTCAATGTTTTAAACATTTTGCACTGTATTCACATAAAAAGTGATCAAAAGGAATACATCCACTTTGTTAGTGACTCTCGCAAGGACACAGACTAGAAAATTCTTATTAATATGAGATATTTAATTTATAGGATTTGTTATAACAGGATCAATAAAGAATTATTATTGGACAGCTAACTAGACATGAAATAATCTAATTACATCAAACCATATACTATCAGGATATCCACTGAAACAAAATTATATATGTGTGTATATATATGTGTGTGTATATATATATGTATATATGTACACGTGTGAGCATATATATGTGTATACATACACATACACACACGTATATACCTATATATAATTTAAGGCTTATTAATGCAAGATACTTACTACTATTAATAATGTAGCTTGGAATCATTTTACCTTTTAATATTGCTGCTGAAATTCCAATGGTAGCACAAAATAGGGGGGAAAAAGCAAAGGCATTAAAGAGTTATATGGAATAATAATTTGCCTGTTTGATGTGCCTATATGCATATATGTAGGAAAGAAGATCTGAGTTTAGAAAAAGGACTCATGAAAAACATCAGGTACATAGGAGGATTAAAGCAGATTAGCAATCCTTTCTATTCTGCTGTTTCCATCTATTACATCCTTACCTACATATATCCTACTCACTCCACTGCTCTTAAACAGTTGACATTTGAAAGAATCTCAAAGAGAATAAAGGAATACAAGAAGACAAGACAAAACACTGATTTGGCTAGCAGCAGATTATTGCTAAACTTTTTTTTTACTGCTCCATTTGAAAGTCATAATGAATTGAATTAGTTTTCTACATTTCTGTCAAAAAAAAACATCCCAGGGGATTCAACAACCCTATATGCATTATACAACTTGATCTGTTTAAGGGGGATGGGAGGAGTACAGCACTCTCCAGGTGTCTCTGGTGGGTAAGAAAGACGGCTGCCATAGGCAGGATCGCAGTCTATGCCTGATGGCTCACTTTCCCTCATTTCGCCCCATTCCTGGGTGTGAAACTATAAAAGATACTAGTAAGACCTTGCATTTATATAGTAATTTGGGTTTCAAAGATCTTTCAAATTACTCACAAACATTTTGGCCTAGAGAGGACAATATACTCTCATGAATTAATAAGGCATGTTATCTTGTTCTTCAGACATCAGCCATTTGCAAGTCTTGCAACCTATAAATAGACCTCAGTGGAGAGAAGCTGCTAGATTTCTATTGTCATCACCATGACAGTGGTCATTTGACTACAGGTGGCTTGGTAAAATCCAATTATTATTATATTATATACAACATCATTCCATACGATCTCTTTTTACTCCTTATAAAAGAAATGTGAGATGCAGTTATCAGTGAAATTGAATGGTGAACATCTGTGGATGTTAAAATGGCTCTTTAGATGTAATCTCTTGTATTATCATCACTGGGCCAACTCAAAGCAAAAGTTATAAATTACATATTAAAAAAGAATTCTAAAAACATCCTAACTTGGCAAACAAAGCCAAATATATATTTTACTACCCTTATCTCCAAATGAAAAATATATTTTGAAACCATCTTCTAAAAATTGTACTTATTTTACCAGTGAACCAAAAATTTCTGTCACTCACTCTTATTATAAAACTAGTAAAATTAATGCTAAATGTCATACAAATAAAAAACCCCAAATAATTTACCCTTACCTCGATCTCTTGCTTTGTCAGAGAGGAGCACTTCCACCTCCTCGTATTCCCTGATGGCATCCAGCAGGATGCTCCCTTCTTTACTGAACAAGAACAGCATGGGGATCGTGATGTCGTCTGTGTCCTTTCCGTCACCTGCCATCTGGAACAGAGGCGCAGTATCACTGCTGCTCCCCTCATTGTCATCTAGCCAGAAAGTGAATACAGCAAACAGAGAAACAGTCGTCCATTAAAAAGGGCAATCTACCAATTGTTACTGTTGTGTACCTGTTGGCAGCATTAATTTTATGCACCAAGAACCATATAAACAACAAACGTACTTTTTGGGCCCACTAATTCTATTCCTAGAAATTTATCCAGAAAAAATAATTCAAAAGAACCAAAATGATCTATGCCCAAAGACGTTTACTGAAATGCCTGCTATCTATAATTGTGAACAACTGTAAACTGTAGTAAATAAATTATAATGAACTACTTAATGGAACACACAGAAAAACAAAATATTAAAATAGAACGTATAATTCTGATTTCGACTAAAAATTTCAGATGCTTATGAAAAAGCCTAGAAGTGGAAAACTGCAAAGACTTGGTTGGATGACAAAGACAGAACTATGAATGAAATGTTATAGTTGTTTAAGATTTCCTCTAATGGCATGATAATCTTTTATAAAATTACAAATGGATAGTTCTTTTTTATATGCTATTCACAAAGAAAACTGATGATAGTAGAGTTTCCTCCATAAATAAGATCGAACACAAGTGTCATTTTACACTGGCTGCATAACAGTAGCAGGACTGCTAAATGCTGTTTTACTGGCGACGCCAGTCATGTGCACCCCTACCTCACCTTCCCTGGAGAACCTGCCTGTCCCTTCTCAGGGGCTTGCTCTGACAGGCACTGCTAAGTGGAGCACACCATGCAGGACACAGCCCCTGAGCAGTAACTGATCAGACAAAGGGTGGCTACCTCCCTGGGGGACCTGGAAGTGCATGCAGAAGACTGATTCAGTTAGCAGCGGGAATGGCCATCTGGGAACCGATGAGCAAAGAGGGAGCAGGCTGCTGAGGAGCTGGAGAATGAAGCAGAACTGCAGAGAGATGCAGAGTTCTGCTCTCTGTGTCTCCAGGAGGGTCCCGAGACAGAGACGTGAAAAACACGAGCTGTCATGGTTCCTGATGATTTTCAGTCCCACCTCCACTTCCTCAGAATGCGGTTGTTTTCTTACTCTTGGGTTCAATGAAAAATCATCTACTTCCATACAGTAAACAAACCTCTCTTCTTAAACCAGCTAAATAAATTGTCTCTTGCAGCCAAATGATTTCTAAGATAATATGTACTTCTAGTACTTGCAATAAAAAACAACTAAGTCCTAGTTTTCTTATTTATATACAATTAAAACCAGTAAAAACCAAACAAAATGCCTCATCAGAAACAAAAAAAATACTTAGGGGAAAGATGTTACAACACAAGAAAGTTTCCCTTCAAAAATTAACTTTTCTGAGAATAGGGATCACTGCCTCTTGATGTATTTACCCACGGAACTCAGTACAGATTCTGTAACAAACAGCAAGCGGCTGAACTGACAAACCTCGCAGAGTAGAGAACACCTGGGAATTAGAGACTTCATCACAAAACAGGGAAGCTAAATACTTTGTATATGTTCCAGACTTTATTTTTAATATTTTATAACTTTAGTCTCAGTAAGAGATGTTCAAAATCATAGTGAGATGTCAAGCTCTTAAACTCTTCAATAAAAAGAATCTCAGTGTGGAAAATAGCCAAGGATAAAAAGATGATTTAAGTCAGGCACCAGCAAACTTTCTGTGTAGTTGGTCAGATAGTGAATGTTTTAGGCTTTTCAGTTCTCTGTTGCAACCACTCCCTTCACCGCTGTAGTTTGAAAGCCATCAGAGATAATGTGCAAACACCTTGGCATGGTGTTTGAAAGCCATCAGAGATAATGTGCAAACACCTTGGCATGGTGTGTGCCACTTAACCTTCTTTATGGAAACAGGCAGTAAGCTGGAGTGGGCCTACAGACTGTAGTTTACCAACCACTGATTTCAGTTACTAAGCAGAATTCTCCAAATACTTCACTAATGGAATTTATGTATTCATTAAATCAATATTGGTGTGCTCATGTGGGATAAGTAAAAGGAACAGAAAATTTATTTAGTTACTTTAAATAAATCTTAGTATTTTACATGTCTTAATTTTTATTTCCCCTAAATTCAAAAAGAAAATCTATCTCAATTAGAAAGAAAAAATTCAAAATACATTTCCCCTGTGAAGAAACTATGCAAAAGGACTAGCTCTGCAATTAGGATATGACCTCGGGTCTTTTCGGTTTTTTTAAATGTAAACTCCTCCCTACTTAAAGTATAGAAAAATTTATATTTTCCCTAATAGTCATGGTCTGCTTGTCATGATATACGTGATTTTCTATGAAAAATCAAAAATCAAACCACACTGGTTGAAATGATTTAAAGTTTGTAATTTCAGTGAGAAAAGACCCAAGGAGATAAAAATGTACTAGCAACTAATGTTTATATCTATGGTATGTTAGCTATTATGCTAAGAAATTTTATATATTATCTTCAAACCTTATAACCACCTAAAATATATTACCAATTTCATTGGGCTAAAAAAATATTATTCTACTGAATAAACAGATAAACTAAAGCCGGGCCAACGTTCCACTATGATCTGAGGCAGAGCCAGGAAGTGCGCCCCCATGTGTCTGACTCCAAAGCCCTAACCTGCGGTGGAATGGATATTTTCAATGGCTCCCACTGGAGGTGGCGGGATGTAAGTCTTGCCCTTAGGGGGCTTTGGCTCTTGTGGGCACATTTTCTTATTCATGGTGTTGGTTTTTACCACTCTCCTCTACCCTACCTTCACACCTGTCTCCAAGTACTTTTACTTGGCATTAATATACAGAAACCCAAATGCAGAATTTCAGAAAAGATACGAGACCTATAGAAATTACTGAGAGAGCTATTGCATTACCTATTCATTATGCTATCTAGTGGAGTAAAAATACAAAACTTTTTAATACAATTTTGGAAAACAAAAGGAAAAAAATCCTAAAAATTACCTCCTAATAACCAACAGAATGATACTGATGCAGACGACTTACCAATAACAATGCCACCAATGGCTCCAGCATTCTGGATGTTACGCGCCTTTTCTGCAAACATGCACTGTCCTCTTTGTATCAAAGCAATTTTCCCCATCACTGCCTCGGGGTTAGTAAGCTCTGAACAGCCGTTGTATGGTTTACTGCTTGCAACAAACCCTCTTGTCTGTCAGAAATAAAGGTGACTTAAATATTTTTTAGCTTCTCAAATCACTTTCTAGTCATTAAATAAAATTTGATATCTAAAGTGTTAGGTAGACCTCATTTCTTTTTTTTCTTTCAAATCCTCACCCGAGGATATTTTTGCATTTATCTTTAGTTAGAATGGGTGGGTGGGAGGGAAAAAGGGAGAGAGAGAGAAACATCGATGTAAGAGAGACACATCGGCTGGTTGCCTCCCGCATGACCCCAACCAGGGCCAGGGACAAATCACAACCGAGGAGCCCTGGACCAGAATCGAACCCGCGACCCTTTGGTTCGTGGGCAGATGCTCTAACCTCTGAGCCAAACCGGCCAGGTCTAGACCTCATTCCTCTACTAATTATAACATACCCAATATATATATTTAGCATAAATTTTGTTTTGAACATTTTGCATATCACAGTACACAACCAGTATTTCTATTGTGCTTTGCAGTTAATTTATAAAGCATTTTTACATAAATTACTAAACCTGATCTTTATAACAGCCCTAAATGAAATCATAAGAAATGAAATCATTTCATTTTACATATGAAAAACTGAGACTCAGGTGACATATTTGCTCTAAGACACAATGCTAATAAGTGGTCAAGTTGGAACCTGTAGGTAGATTCATGACACACCAACCATACCCACCACACTTGCAACAGCTGGGAACCGCTATAAAATGAATCACTGGTAAACGGAAACATTTTTGAAAGAGGAAAAAAAAAATAGATTTAGTCTACATGAATGTGCAAGCAGTTCTTCTTCCTGAAAAATCAAATCCACCAAAATACTGGTTTGAAAAACACTGGTGTAAAGGTATTCCTCTACAACAGCAATTTTCAACCTTTTCATCTCATGGCACACATAAACTAGATACTAAAATTCTGCAGCACACCAAAAAATATTTTTGCCGATCTGACAAAAAGAAATAGAAGTATAATTTTGATTCGCTCACACCAGACAGCTATGTTGTGTTGGCTGTTGTCGTTTTTTATTTGACAAGCTAAGAGAAAAGAGGTCAGTGCCCTTGACTAAACAGTAGGGCATTACATGTTTTAAAAATTCTTGTGGCACACCAGTTGAAAATCACTGCTCTAGAATGTAAAATTGATGAGGGAGGATGTGGATTTTCACTGGTTTTGTAAACTTGCTAGATAGCAAACACCTAAAAAAGTTCTGGATACAGTAAGGACAAAGAGTCCCTACTATACATAAACCTACAGACCTTTAAAATACACACTCAAATTAGTCTAAATTAAGGATAATAAAGTTCAAAGAGCATTGTCTTTAGATTATCGGAATACTGGGTTCTGGTTCCAGCTCCGCAACCAGTTAGTTCGATGAACTTGTGAACTGTTCAGTGACGAAGGTCTTTGTTTCCTATGTTAACGGTAAGAGCGGGAGTTAGCCCAGGGGCCTTCCACGTCCACTCGGTGGACCCTCAGCATCTGACACCCTCCACAGACACGTGAGCACCTCAGCATCAAGCCTCCATGTCAGAGTTTTGTTCAAAGAAAGGTTCTAGCAGTTGTTCAAGAGTCTGAAAACCATTTCAGGTAAATTAAAGGTACTAATTTAGAGAACAGACCAAGAATTGTATAGTATCTGAACAATATTTTTAAAATTCTATAAACATATTGTATATATAAATTATGACTCAAAATTTTCAAGATATGCTTTTAACTTTCTTTATTCTGGAAGAGTAAATAGTTAGGTTTTTAAAATAAATTAAAACTACTAAATTAGAAAAAAGACTAAGAACTTAGACAATACTTAATACTTTTAACTCAATTTCAGTAAGTACATTATGAGTGTACACACCTCTTTGTGTTTAGAAAGATCTAGCCCAAACTGAGCTGGTCCAGCAGTCAACACCACCCTGCCAAAAAATGGGTGGGAAACAATCTGTACAGCTCGTGGAGGTAGCTGCTGTTCTTTCTGTTGCTGACTTGACAACTCAATCATCTCCTGCATGAACCTCAACCCATCTTCAGCGTCAATCGAACTAGCAGCCTAGGAAAGAAACAGAGAATGTTATGCTTTCTGGAAACACTCGACTTTTTGACTTCTTCCACACTACTGCACTGCAGCCTTCCACTCTGCATGTCCTCCTTCAGTTCTGGCCCTGACCACACGCTTACGGCCTGATTTGTCCTAGACATCATTACTTCTGGAAATATTTTCTGAAAATTACTTCTGTAATTTTTACCATTATCTCTTTCACTGTTCTATAAACCATTTTTGATACAAATGGAGAAGTGAACTTCCACCCAGTGATCAAATACTCGTTTGCTAGTTGTCTCCACTGTTTCCCCTTTCAAGAAATAAACCTCATACCTGATCCATACTTCCTTTCTTTGAAATTATGAACCAACAACCAGATTACATTCAAAACATATTTATCAGGCAACTACTATATTCCAACATTTGACTAGACATTAAGGAGACAGTCTTACTTTAAGAAGTTTGTATCTAGAGGAGAAAAACATGTAAAATTAGCTATCGTTACATTTTTCAAGTGGGAAAGTGGACTAGGAAATAACCAATTCTTCCAGTGTAGATCTGGAAAATATTTAGAGTGACATCTGAATTGAGTCTTTCCAGAGGAAAAGCTGAAGAATGCCTAACCATAGTAGAAAAAAGATGGGCCACCTGACACTTTGCAGGAAAAGTCGATGGGGCTTGATAGGCGTTAGAAGATAGAGGACAGAGAGAAGCTGGGAGATAGAGAAGTTCAAGCCTATCCACAAATTTTGGTGACTTAGTTTTGGGAACTTCGAGAATGATGATAGGGTTTACTGAGATGGAGAGCAAAAGGAGGGATGGGCTGAGGAGGGGGAAGGAAGAGAATTCAGGTTCGCACAGATTGAGGTTGACATGTAGAAACGTATGACAGGTAGATCAAAGTTGGGTTTAAGAGTAAAGTTAGGAATCAGGGTTACACACGCATATCTAAGAAATCAAGTGTACAAAGATGACAGCTGAGCTTGCAGAAACAGATGAGACTGCTGAAGAAGACTAGAGAAAGAAAAGACTATGACTCAGATTCTTTGGCTGTGCCTACACTGAGTGGTTGTGCAAGAAAGAGATCTGTAAAGGCATGAACAGAGAAGTGGAAAGATACATGCCACTGGAATTCCCTAGAAGCCAAGAAAAATATATGGTTTAAAAAGGGATCAGTCAAGGTACAGAAAAGTTCAATCACATAAAGATTAGGAGACCACTGGGTGGCAATTACGTCACTGGTGGCCTAAGTGAAAGCAATGTCATTAGAGATGCCACTCCCACTACAAAGGAGTGAGGAAGAGCGACATAAGGAAGCAGGCAGAATATTCTGAAAGAAGGATGGACGTGGCAAGAACAAAGATGAGATAGGAATGAATCTAAGAGGGAGGAGAGGTTGTGGAAAGTTTGAATTTGAGATTTAGGGATACCTGATTATGGTTCTAGGTTGAAATTATTTAGGAAACTATGAGTTTTTTCAGAATTAATATATTAATAAGCTGAATAATTTAAAGACCTTGTGTTATGAAAATTTTTAAAGCAAAAATCAATAAAAATTTCCCCAAAAGACATGTTGTCTTTTCTATGCATAGACAAATTAATGCAAATTTTGATTTTTATAGTGAATAGATTCAGTAGCTCTTTGAAAACTAAAATAATGTAAGATGCAAATATTAAAACTAATCATTACCTTTTAAGATTATGATCTAGCCCTGGCCAGTCTGGCTCAGTAGTTAGAGCATTGGCCCATGGACCAAAGGGTTGAGGAATTGATACCCGGTTAAGGGTAGGTTTGATCCCTGGCTCCAATGGGAGTCGTGCGGGAGGCAACCAATCGATGTGTCTGCCTCACATCGATGTTTCTCTCTCTCTCCCTCCCTCCCTTCCACTCTATCTAAAAATCAATGAAAAAAATATCCTCAGGTGAGGATTAACCTAAAAAAAAAGATTATGCTCTGAATAAAAAAGATGGAAAGACAAGGGACCGAGAAACAGAAAACGTAAACTTGAGTCCTGTGTTTGACTTTAACGTGAACAAATTACCCAACCTATTTGTGATTTAATTGATCTATACTATAAAAGGGTTGAATTAGATGGCTTTCCAACATATTTTCAAGCCCTGAAGTTTTGATTCTCTAACTTTAAGCCACACATTAAAAGTTTTTTAAAGCCCATTATCTTATGAAAACTAATGAGACTAAAAGGGCAGGGTTGGATCTGATTAGTACAGCAATGTCTTACTTGGATTGCATGTTGAACCAACTGGACTCTCCCATCTTTGAGGTGAATCAAACTCACCCCCATCTTCTTCAAGATTTCTAAATGTTCAGGGTTAGTGGCCATGAAATCTCTGGCTCTCAGAGGGGGTTTAGCTCCACTCCTGAAACTCTCCTCTCTGCTAAAAGTAATTACAGGCAAGGCTTAGAAAACTACAAGTCAGAAATGGGGGAAAACATAAAGCAAATAAAAATAATGTTAGAAACTTGCAAAATTGCTAGTTTTAGAACTAGTGAATATGGAATAACTGGAAACAGACATTTGTCTACATATAACTTATGTTATTAATAAGTGGTATAGCTTTTAAATATAATATTTCATAGTTATAAAATCATGTATATTATCAATACGGTAATATCAATCAACAAAATTATCATCATTTGAAAGTACAGAATAGGCTAGCTTTGGGATTCGTCACCACTGATTTCTTCCTTGAAAAACAAATTTCTCCTCATATTATAAAAGCAAAACAATAGTTGTATCAGTGAATGATAACGCTAACTTAACATTTTTATTTTTATTTCCTATTAATGGCCTTTCTCATTTAACTACTTAGAAGAACATTGAGGCAAAAATTTTATTAAACAACCAAGAATAAGTACCTCATAAAATCAAACTAAACAAAAACTGTATTTGCACTACACAAAAACTACAGGTAAAGGAAAAATCTTTGCTATATATACAAGACATGTGGAAACAGTTGATGAAACTATTCTGTATAAAAATGAGCTACACAAGTTTGAAATGCTGCCCACTATTATTACTTAGTTTATTAAACAAAAGATATATAGAACATTTCCATAATAATAAAAGACACTGCAGAATAAACTTTGCTATCCAACTTTACTAATAATTTTTATTTTAATCAGCAACAACTACATACCTCAATGTTTTTGGTCTAAGTGAATGTCTACTGTTATATGTCACTTCTGGTCTCCGTTACTTACTAAGAATAACTGATATTACAAATATAAAATAAGACATCTTACACTCTGATGATGCCTCTAGGACAGCTCTTATCCACCACATTTTTCAAGGGTTCACGAATGCTCTGAGCATACAATGGATCATTAGGGAAGAGAATCTGAGTATTTGGACAAGTCCAATCAAAATTACTGTCATCCAGTTCTATATATTCTGAAGTCTACAATATAAAAGAATGGTATGTAAATAAAAAGAATTATTTTACTTAACACTATAGTTTGTTCAAACAAAATATTAAATAAAATGTAAGTATATAAGATGCCATAAAAGAAAACATCAAGCGTACTTTTCCTCTAACTATACTACATTTATTATTGAATTCTAGTCACAGATTACTTTTCACTTGGATAAATAAAACAAACACAGAGAAGTAAAAATGAGAATAAGACATTTGATTAGCAAACAGAACCTACTGTGTTCTTCTTAGAGATGCTTTGATTTGTAGTGGAGAGCCAAAGAGGTAACAGATGAGCTTCTGTTGTAAATATATAATCTTCTATGTCAAAAATAATGTCTTCTTTATCCGCAAATAACAGGTAAAGATATTTAAACATTTCAGCCAAGAAGAAAGAATCCATTCTAAAATAAGAGGTCACAGATAAATCTATGAACATAAAAATATCCTGATGCCAACTACCTGAAAGCCAGCGTCCAGGTCAACAGATCTATCAACACCAATTTAGAGGTCCAAAGGACTACAAAATATATCTGCCCCTCATGGTAATAGCCTTGACTCTAAGTATTTTCCAAAGAAATGAAAAAGATAAGTGCACCTGCCTACCACACAGATAACTAAATCTTGCCAATGCTACAGACAAGATTTTCTTACGGCCTTCCAATGAGACTGTTTCCCATTTCTTCTACACAGACCCAACAGTGGGGAAGTAATGCAGATAAACTACTGAGAATCATATAATCTTCTGTTAATATTAGTTGAATGGGATGAAGTAATACAACTTTAATGGAGTTTATTACACAGCCACTCTAGTGATAAACAAGAAGGTTTTAAAGGTAAAAGAATCATTTCCAAAAAGTTGCATGAAAAAAAGTACAACAAAATCACATGGAGTATAACTCTGTAATTATTTAAATACCTGTCAAGAAGGGAATATGAAGAAGTAAAGGGGATAAAAATACGTGACTTCACAAACTTTTAATGTTATAATGTTTTAATAAGCAATTTTTAAAAGCTTTAATAAAATTAAAAGTGGCAGAAAAAGAGCATGGCTGTTAGATGCAGTTATAGTAACATGAAATTTAATTAAAGTATCACCTAGTTTTTGGCAGTAATAAATAACTTGTAGTACCCTGGATAGGTTACATATTTTCATACCTCTGGCCAAGCACAATTCCTGGCACACAGTAGGCACTCAATGAACACTTAACAAGTTGAATGCAAGATTTTTAAATAGCGTTACCAAAACATGAACTGCAGAGGCCATGGCACATAGAGATAAAGAACGTGGGCTTTGGAAATAGAAAAGACCATCCACGGACCAGCTATGTAACCATGGGGATATTATGTAAGAACGGTGAGCTTCAGTTTGTTCTTCTGTGAAAAACATAATCATTACACACCTAACACCGGTGTAAAGACTGCATGAGGTACTATATATCCATTGTTTAGCATAGTACCTGGCATATGTATGAGCTCAAAAACAGAGCTATCATTATTTTCCCTACCCATAAATGATGTTTTACTTTGGAACAACAACTCACCTGTCACACTTCAAAATCTTTTTGAACATTTTAGATGTCAATCTTTATAAAACAGATAAAATATGTCCCTGTCAACCTGCAGTACACTTATGATAATTTAGTATTTTCTGGAGGACTGACAGCTACTATCGTGAGCAAATACTAGCTTGAGGAACTGTAGACTCATAAGCAGAATGTTGATTTTTGACAAATTCTAGAACTGATCAGAAACACTTGGAAAAGAATAGACATGGTAAGATCACTACGTATGAGTTGGGTAAAGCCAGCAAGTTGGGTATCATATCTAATCTGTAGCAAAAATAAACATGGACACAATACAAACACATAGGCATTAAAAATGTCCTCCCTGACCAGATAGCTCAGCTCAGATAGCATTGTACCATAATGCCAAAGTTTCAGGTTTGATCCCCAGTCAGCATAACTAAGTAGAACAATAAATCGATGTTTTATCTCTCTCTCTCAAAATCAATACATAAACATTATTATCAAAAAATGTCGGAAGACTGTGCATCAAACTGCCAACAGTTGTCACCGCAGGGTGGGCAAGTAGAAAAAGAGTCTTGGAGAAGATTTTCATGTTCTTCTTTGCCATTTCAGTTCTTTCCAGGGATCATCTACTATGAGGAAAACGCAGACCCTCCATTCGGAAAAGCGTGTGCGTGTGAACACGGGTGAGCCAGACAGCAGCACTGTGAGACCTGCAGGGCAGGAGGCAACCAAATGCAGGGCTAGTGACGGAAAGCTGTCAGGTGCCCAGCCAGGAAGTCGTGGTCCCATCCAACACTCTTCCCAAAAATGTATGTGGAAATTTTTTAAGGTATGTTTATCTAAACTGCAGATCACTAAAAACAGGTAGCTTAGCTAATACATTAGATGATTGAGATGAGATTCAAGCTTTTTTTGGTTTTAAAAAACCCACAAAAATCAACAAATATGAAATTTTGCTGGGATAAGTATAAAGTTCTAAGTTTACACTAAAAAAAAGTCAGTTGCTCAAGAGCAGGGTGGAGAACACCTATTTGTCACCAGGCCATAGTTAAGTATCTGAGGTCAACTGAGGTTACAAGTTCACTGTGAGTTGAACATAATTGAGCTGCTAAAAAATCTAAAGCACATTTAATAACACAATATGATAAAGATGAGTATTTCTCAACTTTTTGTTGGGCCAAATGCATCAGAGAGGTACATACTGGCATGAGTGAGTCCATGAAGAGTGACCCCCAATTGCATAGAGTGTAAGCCCATCAGGCCTCAGAAAATGAGCAATCTCCTGCCTGAGTCCAGATGGTAACACTGCTGTTGTGCTAGGCACATGTTGAGTTTGCTTACTTCTGGACATTATTATTATTTTTTGTTGTTAATCCTCACCCAAGGATATTTTTTCATTGACTTTTAGATAGAGTGGAAGGGGCGGGGGAGAAAGAGAAACATCTATGTGAGAGAAGCACATTGACTGGTTGCCTCACACATGACCCGGACCAGGGCTGGGATAGAACCTGCAACCGGTACGTACCCTTGACCAGAAATAGGGTTCAGGCTGACACTCAAACCGCTGAGCCAAACCAGCCAGGGATGGATGTAATATTTTAAGAGACACTTTATATATTGGAATACAATCAGAATGGAGTTAAGGCAGTGGTTAAGAGGTCCAGAAGCAATGTCACATGAGGAATATTCAGGGAGGTGGGAGGATATTAAATTTAGAAAACTGGAACTCTCTGAACAGAGTAAAACATGGCTTCCTCTGTAACTCCTCGATGTGCTGTTCCCTCCTTCTACTACATCATCTCTCACATGGTTGTGATGAATTCTTTACACACCTATTTCTTCGCTGACTACAAGTCATGAGAGGACAGGGACTGATTCTAATTTATCTTTCCATCCTCAAGTTTAAGTGCAGTGCTCGGCATACAGTACATGATTAATTAGCATCGTGGTCAACAGCCTATCTGCCTTGACTAGAACTGACTTAACCTTACTAATTGTGTGACACAGGGCAAGTATGCTAACCTCTCTGTGCCTCGCTTTCTTCATCTACAAAATGAAGATTATAACAGAAATTACACATCAGAAGGTTCCTGTAAACATCAAATGAGTTAAACATCTAAAGTGCTTAGTTAGAAGAGTGCCCAGAATATAGGAAGCAGTCAATAAATGTTACAGATAAATACACAGCTGTTTTCATTACTTGCTGTTTCTTATCTGTATGCCTGCTTTCTGAAACCTATCCATTTCTCATCTATCAGCTGTGATCAAGGAAGGACATCCAAGGCCTAATTAACTATTATCTAAACACCCTGAGGGAAGGACAAGGCACAACTCTGAGTAGATGATGCGTGCTGTGCTTCATCTGCCCTTAATTCCCCTGCCAAAACTCCTACCACTTTCTTCTAATTCTTGCTCATCCTTCATGACACAAGATCCTTCAGAAACCTTTCAGCAACTACCACATCCCAATTTGTGTTTCGTGTCCCTTTACTATGTTTCACAGTACTTACACAATGGTTTAAAGCCTGTTTATCTGCTTGTCCTCAGCATTCAATGTCAGAAAAGACATGTTTTCATATCATTAATCCTCAAAAACTAGTGTAACTCTGGCACATAAGATGTCTTGGTAAATATCTGTGGGATGAACATCTGCTAACCAAATGAACAAATAAGCTTTACTGTTAAGAGATGTACTGCTATATTCTGAATAGTTAAAATAATCTTGGAATAACTGGAATGCTAATGAATGTCAGATTAATCAAAATATGCTATTTATTTATTCATTTGATTTATTGTTTTTAATCCTCACACGAGGGTATTTTTCCATTGATTTTCAGATAGAGTGGGAGGGAGGGAGAGAGGGATAAACATCGATGGGAGACATATCAACTGGTTGCCTCCTGCACAACCCTGACCAGGGCCAGGGACCGAACCTCAACCGATGCACATGCCCTTGAGCAGAATCGAACCCGTGACTCTTTGGTCTGAGGGCCAATGCTCTAAATGCTGAGCCAAACCGGCCAGGGCAAAAGCATGCTTTTTATATCTTGAGTACTTCATGCCATTACATCTATCTAGTATCCAATGAAAAAGAAACTGCCAATGGTCTTTCCCAGTCCTTCAAATCAGCAACAGAATACACACAATAACCACAATATTGTTTTTAAGAAATTCTTGTCTGAACATAAATAATCCAGATCATTCAACTTCACCTGGATAATTTCTAACATTTTATATAATATAAAAAAACTTTTAATGAAGGAAAATAAAGCCTCAATATTCCTAATACTCCTAAAATCAAGGTTCTGATATTTAACAATCATTTATTCGTGTGTTTTTTTTTTAATTGTTTTTTTTGAGAGAGAGAGAAACATCGATGAGAGAGAACAGCAATTGGCTGCCTCCTGCATGCCCCCCACTGGGGATATGGCCCATAATCGGGCATGTGCCCTGGCCAGGAATCGAACCAGCAACCTCTTGGTGCATGGGTCAACACTCAGCCAGTGAGCCACACCGACCGAGTCTGTTTATTTGTTGTTGTTTTTTAAATCATCTGAGTACCTACTATATGCCAGGCACTATGATAAAAATACAAACTCTTCAAACAATTTAAAATGAGCCTATTCAAGAGAGTTTTAAAAATAAACACAACAAACTAAAGTTTGTATCTTCAAGTATCATCTGTAAAAGCATTAAGCGTATATGAATTCCACCTAGTAGTGGTATTTCAGGAATCGTGTTACCTGTCCTCATGACTTCCAGTACGAACATCCTTCATGGCAGCAAACCCACAAGGCACTCTAGCGTATTTATTCAAATTCTCAATAAGTGTTTTCCCTACTTCAAGGTAGTAAGGGTCTCCTGTAGCCTATTGAAAAAGAGAGTACACATATATACACACACACACACACACATATACATATATACACATATATGTAGCTAATATATTACCATACATTAATTTATCACATATTTATTGAGTACCTACTCTGAGAACCTAGCTCTGAAAAGCCATGGAATCTGCATTATAAAATTACTTAAACACATAACTGGAAAGCCATCCAATTATGTATCTTGGCCTTTAGATTAAATTTCAAATTCCCCAAAAAGATTCCTGATTAAAAGAAGGCAAGAGACATGCTTTAGAAAGCAGCTCTAGAATATAAATTTCTCTTTAAAGAAATGTTTACATTAGTATCACAAAAAGACATAAAACTTAGGTGTCAGAACTTGCATCTTTCAATAACTCTATGAGATAGATGAATAATAACCATGATATATCCAACCATTATAACACACTAAACAAGGTCTTTGAAAACCCAACTACTATTTTATAAGACAGTGAGATATTCAATAAAGAATGAGGGTGGGGGGCTAAACAGCAAAAAGGGAGGTAAATTATCTTACTTTATACAAGAAGTAGGTACTTTCTGCAAATTCTGGTCTTAAAGGATGTTGAGCCCAATGTACCCTGAAATCTGTGGTAAATGCCTGGACAGAAACATTCAAATAGGAAAAAAAAAAAAGTGAGGAAAAAATAATTAACAAGTAGATTTAGAACATACAGCAGTACATAAATTAGAAAATAAACAAGTAAAAATAATTAAAACACTGATAACAATTTTCATCTATAAAATTTTTCATTGCTCAAAATCACAATTCACTTTTGATAAGTTCCTATTTTTACCAAGTAAATGAAATTAAGGCGTTGGTGGTATAGTGGTGAGCACAGCTGCCTTCCAATTAAATAAAATTATTTTTTAAATGATCATTTTGGCTATTAGGACACTTAGAAAAAAACGATGAAATTGAATAATGACATTACATGGGACCTGAAGGTCCCACATAACTATGTTTTCTTCTTTTTCCTCACCTCTACTTTTTCTCTTAGTTATTAAGTGTCTAATTCTCATATTTCTATTTTAACATATGCTTTCTTTTGTAACAATCTCAAATCCTCAGTGGAAAAAGAAAGACATTATTTAAAAATAAAACTAGTCTCGCTTGAAATGTATTCAATAACAGAGCCAACTGATTGATTTATAGAAAAAAAAACCTTCTGAGAACCAAATAAAATTTTATTTGTGATAACATGTTATTTAGTTGAAACCTTAGTTTATTCTGAGTGAATATGAATTTTCTACAATACAATGCTCAGTCCTCACCTGAAGGCTAATAAAACTCTACTTTCTAAAGCAAACACTTCAGGAAACATTCTGAATTGTTGGGATGCTTGGCTCTCTCACAGAGAGCAGGGAATCAGTAGGGACAGAAGGTGAATTTGAAAGTTTTTTAATGATACATTTCTGGAAAGGCAAAAAGTATATTATTAAAATCTTGCCATTTGAAACTAGCAAGGATATTTAATACTGATACAATGTATAAAAACCAGGAAGACAAACTGCCAGCCAGCATGAGGAAGAGCTGGCACTCCCATATTTCCAGGAAGCATGTGTGATCAGTAAGAGTATATTCAATGTGTATCATTTTTATAAAATAAGCGTTAGAAAATAAAAAGTAAAAAGATCTCCTTAGTGGGTATGTGTAAAAGTTAGAAAAAAATAATATGAGATGTCATGGATTAGCGAAGGTTGAGAAATACTAATTTGGGATATTTTTTTACATAAAATGTCAGAATTATCATAAACTAGACTTCTCTGAATACACGAGGAAAAGGAAAAAACATATATAATACTATGTAAACCAAATATTAATTAAACTATTTAACCAGAAAAAATAAATAGAAAAAACTATCCAACCTTGAATATGACATTTTCTACCTTTAAATTAGAAATTTATAGTATATTTAAATTAGAATTCCAAAGATAATTTGCTTACCTCTGGTAGAAAATTGTGTTTTTTAATCACTTGATATAACATTTCATGAGTTTCAATAGCAGGTCTAATATCCCCCTTTAAGACCTAGAAGTCAAAATAACAAAATAACCTAATAAAACAGAAGTTGATTCTTTAATTTATAATCATTTTATAAAAAGGAAAATGTAGATTAATATAATTTTGAAATGTGACTCTGGCAATTCTATTTTAGAGATCAAAAATGCACTTAGCTATAATCATTTTACTCTAATATCAGGAAAACAAGAGTTTTTTGGTTTTTTACCTGCAGACCTGGAAAAAAGGCAAGCAAAGCATCCATCCAAGTCCGAGCATTCAGCATTGGCTTGTGGATATGCACGTCGAGGAGAAGAGGGGGCTGGCTGATGTACCGCATTATGGCATCGTAGTGCTAAAAGATCACAACATGTGTTCAGGAAAGGAGATGAAAAGAGATGAGCTATTCTAAACACAGCATTTCATTAAACAGCACTGTAAAGAAATTAAACCAGAATTCATACATAAATAAATTTATGATGTCATTGTGTAAATGTTTAAATTATTTTAGATGAAAATCTTTCTAAAATATATTGTATACACTCTCTTGTGTTCTTTAACTCTGATGCAGAAAATAAAAGACTACAGTTAATATGGGGCCTCCTGGGGGAGCAGATGAACATGGCTATCCTTTGGAATTAGTCAGTCCATGGTTAGTATACCCTTGTGGCCCAAGAATGCTCTTATATCCTCTTGAAATATAGGTCCAGGCTTCTAGATTAATATAATTAGTTTCATTTTTTCCCTATGTCTAGAAGTTTAGGCCCTTCGTGGCTGACACTGGTACTCAGTACTACCCAAACTAATGTATCTAATCACTGTTGCTACCCTTAGGGTCCGCTATATCTGCCTTTTAGGCTCTTAAAAACTCTTTTTCTTCTATCTTCTCCTAGTTATCTCTCAGCTGTAACAACAATTTGGGCTGTGAGAGTCAATGAATGACAATAAGCCAAAAAAAAAATATCTGTCTTCATTCACCTCAAGAAAATCTCGTTATAATCCAACTACTGACTTATTTAGGACACTTACTAGTTTGTTTTTTTCCAAACTCATCTACTATTTAATCACCCTATATACATTAAAACTCATTTAATCTTCCCCAAAACTCTATAAATAGTACTAGTACTCACATTTTGTGGATGAGGAACAGAGGCAAACAGTATAAAGTTATTTGCCCAGTCATAAAACCAGCAGTACAACCAGGATTTAAACCTAGGCAGGAAAACTGCCATGCTTTTAACCACTATATCATACTGTCTCACAGTAATTGGGTGAACTGATGAGTGGGCAAAGAAATGGTAAATTATTTAAAAAGAATACAGTGATATAGCTGATGAGAATGCTGTATTAATTTCAGTTTCCTTCAGTTACAAAGGTGATCTAATCAGGCTCAATAATACTCCCCCTTCTCCCCTAAAAGTATGCCTGTAGCTCTGATCTAGACTTAAGACTTACAGACTGCTTTTGAAATGAATACGCACTGGTTTCTCCAAGTTTCTGAAGCCCTGCATACTTTCTGTGATCAAGAACTACGCCAAACTTGCAAGAGTTAAAAAAAAAAAAAGGAATCCAAAAGAAGCAGCTAATAATTTATTGCAATAAATTCTCTTCCTTATATAAAATATTAGGTAAAACTCAAATTTACATCACTTACTGGCAGATCATGAAACCTTCTAATAAGAAACGAAGATAAAACTACTTCATAAACTAATTTTTGGAATGTGTGTAGCTTTTACCCTGTCCCTGTCCAACATCATCAGGGAATACTGACAAAAACCCTACTACTACACATTTAGAAATAATTATTTTTCAGACTGTCACTCAGATTATTGAGTTTCTAACAAATCTGGCACTCAAATTAAATTGGCTCTAAAGTTAATGTAAAATTGGATCAACTTACTGTATTAAATCTTTCCAGAAAACTGTCATCTCCAAGCAAGACATAGGCTTTCAACAGATATTCATAATAGGAATCAATGCCTGCTCCAACTCCACTATCTATGAAAAATAGATACAAATGTGATTATTTATTAAACTAGTCAAAAATTCTTTATACAATTGAGGGTACTAGCACACTCAGAATGAAAAATGAGTCTAAATAGAAAACTATTTAAAGTAAAAAGTACACATTTACAGAAATATTAACCCTACTATATGAATAATTGTTCCTTTGCTAACAGTTTATGTTAAAAAAAAATGCTACTTTGCAAAATGGCTTACAAAGGTCTTACTTAAAAGCACGAATTACTAGTTTTGAGAATTTTTTAACCTCATTTTCTCAGGGAGAAACTCCAAAGAGGAAGCACTAGATTATGTATTTTTTTTTATCAGACCCTTAATCAGGAAGACATCAATCTTTAAAGTTATAACAGGTATGAAAACAAGGCTACTGTTTGGAGGTACCCATTCTAATTGCTAAAATTGGTACTGATTGTTGGCTTCTTCCTCCAAGAATTTCACAGAGGTCCAAAGAGAGAAAATAATAAGAAAATTATAAAACCTGGTGGCCAGGGGTGTGGGGACAGGGGAGAGGGGAGAGGGTAGCTTTGGCCTACAGCAGAGGCAGCCAGGCACGGGTATGGAAGGACCAAACAGGAGGGACACTGCTGGAGCTCTGCTCTTGCTTCTCTCCTACCACAGCATTAAGACACAAGACCTCCTCCCACACCTGCTATGAGCCAGATCTAGGCTCCAGGTATTCTAGAGGTAAAATCGGGGCAGCACAGAAGCCCCGCATAAGGAACTAAACAAATGAGGTAGGAACTAACTTTAGATCTTCTCTTCCCCACGTTTTCGCCTCCTAAAGCTGATGAATTACAATCTAAATTACAATCACAATCTTAGAAATCCCTATACCCAGGGCACACCCTAGATCAAATGAATCAGAATCACTAGGGTTCCAGGCATTGGTATTTTTTTAAACTTTTTTAGATTTCATCCCTAATATCCCTTACCTGGATAGGAATTGGGATTTGACTTTGCCACAAAGTAGGTGACAAGGAAACATGAACTTACAAGCCCAAAACATTTAAGAAATATGACTTTTTGCCTGGCCAGTGTGGCTCAGTGGTTGAGCATCAACCCATGCACCAGGAGGTCGTCAGTTTGATTCCCGTTCAGGACACATGCCCAGGTTGTGGGCCAAATCCCCAGTGGGGGGCATGCAGGAGGAGGCCAATCCATGTTCTCTCTCATCAATGCTTCTTCTCTCTCTCCGTCTCCCTTCCTCTCTCTCTAAAATCAATAAAGAAAAAGAAAAAAAAAAAGAAATATGACTTTTTAAAAAGAAAAAGAAAATACCAGAATAAGAGTTTATCAGGAAAAGAAATATCAGAACAGGCAAACCAAAAAAATTAAATTAGCAAAAAGAGAGATAAATGAAAAAAGATAAAATATCTAAAAAATAAGGATCAAGTTTTCAACAATTAACAACATAAAAATTAATAAAACAGGACCACATAATACCAAAATGAGAGATAAAGAAAATTCTACACCTAAAATTATAACATTTTTAGAAATTTCTCTTTGGCTCTGATACTCTTAATCTTACAGAGAGAAAAAGTAGATCATAAGACTTCCGGTCAAGACGGCGGGTAGGTAAACGCGGTATCGCGTCCTCCCACAACCACATCAAAGTTACAACTAAACTACAGAACAACTATCATCAAAACCGCCTGAAGTCAAGCTGAATGAAGTCCTACAACTACGGAATTAAAGCAGCAGCCACACCGAGACTGGTAGGAGGGGCTGAGGGGATGGGCTGGTCCCCACACCCACGTGTGGCGGATAAAAATCAGGAGGACACCTTGGCTGGGAAGGTCCTTCCTGAGGACTGAGGGGTCCCCGTCCCACACCAGGTGCCCCGCTCAGGGTCCCAGTGCCAGGAAGAGAATCCCCATCACTTTGGGCTGGAATAAATAGTGGGAACTGAGGCTCAGGGAGGCTGAACCAGCTGGAGCCCCAGGTAGCTCCTTAAAGGGCCCGCGCACAGACTTATCGGACTCTCTCCCTCTGAGCTTGGAGGGGAGGCAGCTCGAGGGGCGCCAGAGACACACAGGGAAGAACTGAGCTGTTTGGCACTGGAGCGAGAGCTGGAGAGGGGGCTTTCTCCAGGACAGACGTGCTGTCAGAGGCCTTTGTTCCTTTGGTGAGCCCTTCCCTGGGGCAGCAGTCAGTCACCATATCTGGGACTCCAGCAACCTGGCTCACACTGGTAGCCCCGCCCTGGTGATTCCCTGAGGCCCCGCCCCACCCAACTTGCAGGCCCACCCAAGCTGTTGCCAGTTGCTTAACCATAGGATTGGCCTGTCTTGGATCCTGCTTCAGGTTTTCCTAAATTCTTTCAAACAAGCAGCATCTCGTCTCAGTTAGCCCCATACCTCTCATTAAGTAATACACAGAAACAGAGAGGCAGCGAAAATGAGGAGACAAAGAAACAGGTCCCAAATAAAAGAACAGAACAAAACCCCAAGAAAAGAACTAAGCAAAATGGAGCTAAGCAACCTAACAGGTGCTGAGTTCAAAACACTGCTTATAAGGATGCTCAATGAACTTAGTGAGGGCCTCAAGAGCATACAAAAGGACCAGTCAGAAATCATGGATGCACAGTCAGAAATGAAGGAGGCATTAACTGAAATAAAGAATAATTTATACAGATTCGATAGTAGAGTACGTAAATCCAAGAAGCAAACCATTAATTTGGAATATAAGGAAGCAAAAAATGCCCAATCAGAACAGCAAAAAGAAAAAAGAATCCAAAAAAATGAGGATAGTGTAAGGAGCCTCTGGGACAACTTCAAGCGTGCCAACATTCGCATCTTGGGGGTGCCAGAAGGAGAAGAGAGAGAACAAGAAATTGAAAACCTGTTTGAAACAATAATGGCAGAAAACTTTCCTAACTTGGTGAAGAAAACAGACATACAAATCCAGGAAGCACAGAGAGTCCCAAACGAGATGAAACCCAAGAGGCCCACACCAAGACACATCATCATCAAAATGCAAAAGGTTCAAGACAAAGAGAGAATCTTAAAAGCGGCAAGAGAAAAGCAGTTAGTTACCTACAAGGGAGTTCCCATAAGGTTGTCAGCTGATTTCTCAAAAGAAACTTTGCAGGCCAGAAGGGAGTGGCAAGAAATATTCAGAGTGATGAAAAGCAAGAACCTACAACCAAGATTATTCTATCCTGCAAAGCTGTCATTTAGAATCGATGGCCCATAAAGAGTTTCCCAGATAAGAAAAAGTTAAAGGAGTTCATCACCACCAAACCGTTACTATATGAAATGATGAAGGGTCTTTTTGAAGAAAAAGATAAAATATATGAACAAACAAAATGGCAATGAATACATATCTATCGACAATGGAATCTACAAACAAAATGAACAGGCAGAACAGAAACATTGTCATAGATACAGAGAACATTTTGTTGGTTACCAGATGGGAGGGGGGTTGGGTGAAAAAGGTGAAGGGATTAAGAACTACAAATTCATTGCTAGACTCACAAACCTCAAAGAGAAAGGGTTTGGGGGTGGGGTGGGGATGGGAAGAAATAAACCAAAGAACTTAAATGCATAACCAATGGACAGAGACAACAGCGTGGAAAAAGGCGGGAGTGGGGAGGAGGGGGTTGATGGGGGAAAAATGAGGAACATCTGTAATACATTCAACAATAAAGATTTTTTTAAATTTAAAAAAAAGAGTAGATCATATACAAGGGCGTAAAAATCAGAATAATATCAGATTTTGAACAGGACTTAAGAAGACAACAGAGTTGTATTTTCAAAGACTTGAAAGAAAAGAACCTCACAGAAAATTATACCCAAACTGTCACTTAAATATGAAAGCACAATAAAATTATTGTTAGGTATATAAGGCCTCAGAAGCTATTAAAAGGTACTGAAAATAGTTTGAGGTAAATACATAAATGAGAAGAGAGACAAATCTAAGAGATGTTGTAAGTAATATACAAAGTACAAGTGACCAAGTATCTTGATAAAGTTTATCTTTAAAGAAAGAGGAAGTAAAACCAAAAGAAAAAAGAGAAAACATATTCATAATGAGTAAGAACGCAGTATCTATATGGTAAAAACATAAAGGGGGATGAGAGTTGCAGTGGGGTTGTGGAGTTGGGGGGAGACAAAGGATAGGAGAGCATGCTAAAAGTTCATTTCTTACTAGGAGGCAAATATAGGGTTCAATTAAAATTAAAAGAATTAAAAGGAAACAAAAAGGTGGGACATACTGAAATAATAAAGATGGTATAAATAAGTCCAAATACATTGCAGAAATAGGGAGAATCTAGGATCATATGCAGAAGTAACTGGCTATCAAACAAGTTGCTTTTGTAACAGATGGTCCATTTGTGGGTGCTTGTTACATATCATATTAATAATGACTAAGTAAAATGGGCCATGCATGGACCCATGATGACAGTGTCATAAGCCAACAATGATAACTGATCTTAAATTAATAGTGATTATTTTGCACCTGAGTTCCAAGGCAAGTAAAAAAAAGATAAGCTATTGCAGAATTCTGAAGCCAGGTTTCAGATTAGTTTCAGAAACCATTTAGACAAAACAGAAAAATTTTATATAATACTGAAGTCAATAATTTTAACATGCTCAAATTAATAATTATCTTTTTAATTTATTTAATTATAGGCAATTATTTTTATTTTATAAGAAACAACATAAGCCTTTTGGGAAATAAAATAAATATGTAAACAAGATCATCTCATTAGGAATATTCTACTATATTTCCATTCATCTATGCTTATAAAGATAAAAACATAGTCTTTATATACGTAATCCTATATTCTATTTGTTCATATAACATTGTTATGTGCTTTGTCTCATGATTCAAATTCATTTTCATAAGAATTAGTAATAACATTGTTAAATACAGATTTTCACTTAACTATACCTTCATGTGAGATGGCTGAGGTATTCTGATGACTGAGGTCCTCAAAGAAGTTAGTTCTACTGTGTCAACTATTCCCTCTATCTGTAATGCTATACCCAGTAAGGTATGAAATAGAACACTAAGTCATCTAGAAGGGTATGCTATTATTTGACACACCAAAGAAGAAAATCAGGCTAAATTAGTTATAATTCCAGCAAGTTTGTGAGAAACACTGCCTTTTACTGTCCCAAGATTACTTTAACGAATGAAAATTCCTTATTTCCCAACCATTCTAAGGATGTGAAAGCTAGATTTGAAAAAGGCGAACTTACATACCTTTTCGCACCCAATCTCCAGTATGAATATTTATAGTCACGCCCACTAAATTACTACTTCGCTGTCTTTTTTCCCAGAGGAAATCAAGAGCTTTTCTTGCATATTCCTATAATTAGATAAAGGAAAGGCATACTTGAATAACTTCAGATCTCTGGCAAACAAGGAAACAAAGAAACAAAAATCAAAGGCCCCATAGCATATTTTAAGGATTAACTAAAATTCCTAAGATAACCATTAATAATATATGTTAAATTTCCTTACAGGCCAAATCTTGGTTCTTTTTGACCCAATCAAGTCTAGTTAAAAAGAATGACTCTAAAAATGCTATTTAGTGGCAGTAATCTCACTATGAAAGGATCCAGGTTCATCTACGCTTGTAGTACAAGTTCACATTCACACACATGTATTACTAAATCATATTAATTTCTGGCATAATTGAATGCCCTTGATAAAATAATCTCAGACATTTTAATGCAAAGTGAGAATCTCCTTAGATACTCTTATTTAAAACTTGAAGGAGACTTTTAAAGTTTATACACCATCTTTTAAACACAAACAGGCATTTCAGATTCCACTTTTTAAGTAGCATGTAACTTTGTTAGAGTCAGTAAATCAACTAGTATTCATTTGACAACCAAATTTTTAAACTTATGATAACAGTTTCTTTTATTTTCATTTACTTTTATTCATTGGACACTAAATTAAAATAATTTCTGATCTGCCCTGGCCGGTTTGGCTCAGCAGTTAGAGCATCGGCCTGCGGTCCAGAGAGACCCGGGTTCGGTTCACGCCAAGTGCGCGAAGGGCGCGTACCTCAGTTGCAGTTTGTCCCTGGCCCTGGTTGGTCACGCGGGTGGCAGCCACTCGATGTGTCCCTTTCACATCGATGTTTCTCTCTCTCTGTTCCTCTCTTCTCCCTCCCATTCTATCTGAACAAAAAGTGAAAAAATGTCCTCAGGTGAGGATAAAAAAAAAAATTTCTGATCAAATTCTTGGCTTTGGATAAAAATTTGTTACAAAACATGCAGAAGTTCTATAAAAGAAAGAAATAATTAAACCAATTTGTCACTTTGCAGGTTTTAATTTCTGATTCAAACTATTTATGCTGATTTTTTAAAACAATGCAGATTACAACTTTAATTATATGCTATAATTTGAGAGCCAAAAAGGTTCATAAAGATTGTATTTCACTACACCTATCTTACAGCTAAGAAAACAGGCCCAGTGAAATCAAAGATTTAACCAAAGTTTAAAACTGAATTAAAGGACAACTGATATGAGAATTCAGATGTCTTTATAGTTAACACTAAAAGCAAACTTTTTCCAACAAGAGCCACATAGTAAATATTTTAGGCACTGTCACAATTATTCAACTGTATCACTGTAGCACAAATGCAGCCATAGACAAAAATAAAAAATGAGCAGGGCTATGTTCTAATAAAACTTTATTCACACACACAAAAAAACAGGCACTGGATGAATTTGGCTCAAAGACTATAGTTTACCAACCCTGCATTAGATTGATGCTCTATCAAGTACATTAGGTTGCTTCTCTTATAATAAATTACTGAACATTCAAGAAGTTTTAAAACATCATGATTTTCAACAGATTTACTCATAAATACAAAATAGTCCAGTGGAAAGAGAATGGGTTTTGAATTCAGAAAGGCATGGATTCTAACTCCACTCTCACTCATTCAGCCACTAGCTGCATCTTACCCTTTTTTAGACTCACTTTCCTCACCTGTAAATGTATCAGTAGCTCAGAGTTTGTAGTTCAACTTAAACAGTATGCAAAACTGAGTATACTTTTTAATAAAGGAAAGGTATTAGTTAACAAGGTATAGAATAAAAATTAAACCAAACATGATAAATCTGCCCTTAAGATACTTCAAACACACATACACACAAAGACCATTTGACTTGTTTTATTTACACTCAGATCCAACGACTCTGATGTTGGCACAGATTCCCTAATTTTGCTCTATGTCACCATTTGATGAATTTTTAAAACCTCTCCTGTCACATGCATTTAAAGAGAAGCATTTTGTGTTAATATTGCACTCCAATGACAAGCTTAGATAAAATAAAAAGTGAGAGACATACCTAGTACACAACAAATTACTTGGGGAATATTAAGTCTTTCGGATAATGAATAACATGTCCCTTGGAGTAAACAAACTTATAGATAAGACTCTCAATCAAAACTTAAGTGCAAAAATCTCACCATGTTTTAGATTAGTGACGTTTTCAGAAATGCCATAAACCATCTAAAAGTCTAACACATAAAACACAGACATTGTATTTCATAGAAGACATTTGTGATATTAAATTCATGTAAGTAATATGGCTTAAAAAAAAAACCTAAGAATAAACCTTAAAATTTATAGTTTGTGAAAAAATGCAAACCGTATTTACCTCACAATGACTTCTATGTTTTTGACAAAGACTGTGATGGAATTCAGACAAAATTTCACTAAAATAATAGTAATCCTCTGACTGATAATCCTGATAGTTGACCAACGAAGAAAAGATATAAAATTAGTTATGCCCAATCCCCAGGAGATCAAAGACTATGAAAAGCAAACCTCAAATATTGTTGCTCCTGTGAATCGACTTAAAGCAGCAAACTCAAGGATCAAGGTACCTGCACACGCTGTACAGGTATCAGTCTCAGTCCCTGTCCGAGCTTCTGGTTTCCTGATACCAAACTTTAAATTAATCTAAATAAAATCAGAAGATGATAATTAGCAATTATCGAGAGATAATGACTCCTGGATAAGAGAATAGTTTTTAATCAAGTCTTATCAAAAACATGACAATAATTTACAAAATAACTAAACATTGAAATTCCATCTGATGATCTCTACGACTTTCCAATTAACATCTAGGGAAATATGTTCTACGCATGTAATATTCATGGAGCAAATAGGTTTTCATTTAGTTCCTTCCTTACTGATACTGAAATTCAATATAAGAACTTCACAGAAAAAATAACTTCTGTAACAATTCTGTTTGCAGGACAGTTTGAACTAATTAGTACAAGAGGGAAGTAGACCAACTCTAGAAGAAATTTTAATTGAGAAATCAATTGGTGGGTATGCCTATTACCTTAGCAATGTCAATCAATAGACTCTAGGAATATCTGGCCAAGGAGACAGGCAACCTCAACAAAGAACAACAGAAGTGAAATGTAGGGGAGACATGGGGAGTGGGTCACCATGATGGCTTCAGTACTGCAAAAATGATTCCATTTTTCCTCATTCAACTGGCAAAAGAATGATAATATACAATAATGATAATAACACAATGACACGTACTTTTATACAACACTGAGGAACTATCAAAGTAGAAACTTTCTGGAGAAAAATTGTACAATAAGTACCCAAAGTCTTAAAAAGCATTCCCTATGGCTGTCTTACTCTTTTCTCTTCTAGTAATTTATCCTAAAGAAGAAATAAGTAAAAAGATATGTATAAAGAAGAGCTATTTAAAAGATCATAAACTAGAAATTAAAATAAGAGATTTAATACTAGTCTGTTTCAGGAAAAAAAAAAAAAAAAGTGGTTACAATCCACTAAATTGGTGGGTAAACCAATGGGCTGTAACCTCTAATTTGAAAGACACCACTCTATATCATGCTGTATCTCTAGCCAGACTTCTTGATGGAGGAGATGAGTCTTATTTTATTTATATTGGTAGAGAAGTTATTCCAGGTTACAGAGATGCAGGCTTAAAGGCATGGCAATGGAAAAACTAAAAAAAAAAAACAACAACCCAAACAACAAAAAAATAAAATGCTAGGTGGTTTGAGGAACACTAATAGATTATTTGGAGTAAATTTTTTTTTTTTATCCTCACCCGAAGACATGTTTCCTTTTTTTTTTTTTTGTTCAGATAGAGTGGGAGGGAGGGAGGAAGAGAGGGAAAGAGAGAGAGAGAAACATCTATGTGAAAGGGACACATCAAATGGCTGCCTCCCGCACGACCCGGGGACAAACTGCAACCATGGTACGTGCCCTTAGAGGGAACTGAACCCGGGTCTCTCTGGACCGCAGGCCGATGCTCTAACCACTGAGCAAAACCAGCCAGGGCCTAATAGATTATTTTGAAATGGAATACTCATTTCACTGGGGCTCGGGGTATGAAAGAACATCAGAAAGGAAGTTTATTGCCAAACCATAAGGAATTCTGAAAGTTAAAGACAGTACAACAGGGAGAGTCAGTAAAACTTCTGAGGATAATTTGATTAAAATGTTTTGGTAAGATTAATGTTTTAAATACCTAACGCATAAAACAGAGAGAAATGAGTGAGACAGGCACTTACAATAGCTTTGGAATAAAATGATATTGGTTTCAACCAGCGTAGTAGCAATAAAAAAAGAAAAACATGAATAGAGCTTGGTAATTAATAGCTGAGGTATCTGCCTTGCATAAGAGGGAGAGAGTAGTAGTGTTAATAAAGAATAAAATAAACCAGAAGAGAGTTTTTCTGTCTGCAGAGGCTTCTTTCCCTCTGCTTTAAATATAACCTTTTGTCTTGGGGGCGAAAACCACAAAACTTCAAATGAAGAAGTTGCCAACTCTCTTTAACCAACAGAGAAGAAATCTCAAAATGGTCCTATACTTTCACCAACCGAAGTCTTCTTACCTTTAATTCTACCACATTACATCTTCAAGGCTCTCTTTGCACCTACTTCCAAGATTTTCTAGGACATCTTTTGAAACTTTCTGTTTAAGACTTTCGGATACCACACCCTACTCTGTGCTTCTCCCTGCACACTCTCCGTCGCTCTGCTCCGCCTCGCCCTCATGCCCCTCCGCCCGTGTCCTCTCTCGAACCGCTCCTCTGGACAGTTACCACCTCCTCTGCCTCACCTGTATCTTCTGCACAACCCGTTCTGGCCCAAATTTGAGTCTGGCATCTGTTTCTTCCTTCTGCAGCATAATCTAATCTGTTATGCAGTGACACATAAAAGGCTTCAACTCATCTAAATTCTCACACCACTCATACCAAATTAACTGAAATGTCAATATAAGTGTGTTATTTTGCTATGAAGCACTTTTCTCCAGCTTCAAGCAGGTGAGGAACAATAGCTCCAATCTTTTTTAGCAAAAGAAGTATATAAAGACTGCCATATTTTTCAGAATTACTTACTCTTGGATAAGGAAGGCCACTAGTAGTATTGAAAGCTGGTAAAAGTTTGTAACCCAATTGCTTTGCCATTTGCAGAAGTTCGTCGTTGTACCACTGCATGTACTCGCCCTTCTCTTTCAGCATGATTGCCAGTGAGTGTCCACCCAAGAGACCCCTGCAACCAGAGACCAAACATGACCCACATCTTAGACACTTGGAAGTCACCACTTAAAAAGATGTAGGTGTCTTTTTATCAACAACTTTACACACATAAGGAAAGAACATAGAAGAGCTTAATTTTTTACCTCACTCTGGCTACTCACTCATGGCAAACATTTATAATTATGTAGCCAGTATTAAAAAAAAAAAAATTCAGATGTTCTACCTGTTGTAAAGTGTTTAGCATTCTTAAAAACTTTGTTTTCTTAAAGAACATCAAAGAAGTCACTTATTTTAACAAATTTGACAAATTTAATTTTAACAAAATTTAAATTTAACTCATTTAATTATATCATGAAATATTTAACTCTTAGTATAACATTAAAAAAAATAAAAATAACCCTTCTGTCTACATTAAAAGTTAATGTTGAAATTTGAATTACTATATCCTGTAATTCCACATTTTTATTTATTTTTATTTTTTTAATCCTCACCCGAGAATATTTTTCCATTAATTTTCAGATAGAGTAGGAAGGAGGAATGGAGCGGGAGAGGAACAGAGAAAAACATCAATGCGAGAGAGACATAAAGATGGCTGCCTCCTGCATGACCTCAACCAGAGCCAGGGATCGAACTGCAAGTGAGGTATGTCCCCTTGACCAAAATCGAACCCATGACTCTGGTCCTCGAGCAGACGCTCTAACTGCTGAGCCAAACCAGCCAGGGTTAATTCTGCATTTTTAAATGTTTCAAGAGTATTTCAAATTGTGTAGATGAAAAGTAATCCTACAAATTTAGTTTCATTTGCCTTGAAGAGGTATTAGCAAATGTTAGTAAACTATACTGCTAGTGAAATACCTGTGATGTAGCTAATATGCAAATATTCAACCTATAGTCCTTTATCAACGATATACAGGGGTTACCTGTGAGTTGAGTCTGTAACTTTTTATAAAGCCTGCTGCTGCCTCAGCCTGATTTCATGCAAGGTCCTCCCACAGCCTCTGTTTCATAATATCCCCACTTTTATCTTTAAACATAAGAAATATCTTGCTTTATTACCATCAAGAAATAAACAGTATACCCTAAGCTTTTCTGTTAAAATTATAGCTTTAGTGTCTTACATACTTACCCAAGAACTCTGATGTTTGTTTCAAAGACTGATACAACTACATCATTATCTAAATTAACATCTCTTAAAACTTTTCTCACTGCATCTTCAAATTCTTTAGTTTTATTTAATACCTAGAAGAAAAGTGTGAAAATAAAGTTATTTTCTATGAAGTCAAAGAGAAATATCCTCAAAATGAGCTACTGAAAGCAAGTTCATATCTTAAGACTAAAAAGCGACACACACACAATATTTCCCTTAAGCATGTAATAAAATGTGATATCTAAGATAGAAAAAAATAAGTGCCTAATTATATTATGAGGAATCATTATAAACTTTTTTTTTTTTTTAATCCTCACCCGAGGACATTTTTCCATTTTTTGTTTAGAGTAGAAGGGAGAGAGGGAGAGAGGAAGAGAGAGAGAGAGAGAGAAAGAAACATGGACGTGAAAGGGACATATCTAGTGGCTGCCACCCACATGACCAACCAGGGCCAGGGACAAACTGCAACCGAGGTATGTGCCCTTAGCGGGAACCGAACCCGGTCTCCCTGGACCGCAGGCCGACGCTCTAACCACTGAGCCAAACCGGCCAGGGCTAAACTTCTTTTTTAAACACAGAAATATCATTAGGACTTTAAACAATCAACCTCAGAACTGTTAACGGGTTTCTGACCTAGAGCTACCTAAAATGAGCTCTACAGGGATTTGGTTTCCAAGTCCAAACTAACCAAAAATCCATCCTATGTACTAAACATCATTTAAAAAGTTGCTTCCTCATAAAAGAAAGCACATACTTCAGAGGATGATCAACTGACCCTAAACCATACACCACCTGCCCTCTTCACCCCATGGATGCCCCAGCCCAATTTGAATTTTGGTTCCTTCATTTACTACCTATCTAATCCCAGTTATTTCCATCTCTGAGTCTGTTCCTAAATATACAAAAAGAAGGAATACCTACTTTCATAGGGTTGTTTTCCTAAATGAGGTAATGTATGTAAAGTACTTCTAATAGAGTACCTGACTTAATAAGTGCTCAATATCATTACCATTATTATCATCATTACCACATGGATTAGAATCCTGTCTATACTAAGAATTCTGTGGATTCTTGCAATGAGCTCCATGAAGGGGTCACCGTCACTACACAGTTTACTTTGATTTTTCGGTCTAAATGAAGGTTGCACAATTAGATGTTATTTAGATCTTAGATTCATTAAAAGTAGCTTTCTGGCCCTGGCTGGTTTGGCTCAGCAGTTAGAGTGTCAGCCTGCAGACCAAAGGGTCGGGGGTTCAATATCCGGTCAAGGGCAAGTATCTGGGTTGCATGCAGGTTGAATCCCTGGCCCTAGTCACAGTCATGCAAGAGGCAACCAATCAATGTGTCTCTCTCACATCGATGTTTCTCTCTCTCTCCCTTCCACTCTATCTAAAAATCAATGGAAAAATACTCTTGCCCTGGCCAGTTTGGCTCAGCGGTTAGAGCGTCGGCCTGCGGTCCGGAGAGACCCGGGTTCGGTTCCTGCTAAAGGCACGTACTTCGGTTGCAGTTTGTCCCCGACCCTGGTTGGTCGAGCGGGTGGCAGCCACTCGATGTGTCCCTTCACATCGATGTTTCTCTCTCTCTCCCTTCCTCTCTCTCCCTCCCACTCTATCTGTACAAAAAATGGAAAAATATCCTCGGAGGAGGATAAAAAAAAAGAAAAATACTCTTGCGTGAGGATTTTTTTTTTTTTTTAAAGTGGTTTTCTGGCCCTGGCCAGGTAGTTCAGTTGGTTAGGGCATAATCCCCATATGCCAAGGTTGCGGATTTGATCCCTGGTCAGGACACAAACAAGAATCAACTAATGAATGCATGAATGGATAGAACAACAAATCAATGCCTCTCTGTCTCTCTCCCCTCTTCCTCTCTCTCTCTAAAAATCAAAAAATAAAATATTTTTTAAAAGTAGGTTTCCTTTACTTGACTGTTTAATCTTTTCATATGACAATATTCTATAATGTTTTTTTCACTTGATTTGATACTTTCGCTTAAAATTCTAATTTAGATATAAAACATTCCATAAGAGTTCCTAATTAAAATGAGCACTGAGTAAAATATAATCCAATACCTGATTTTAAATCGACAGTTTTCCCTTCTCAATCTCAAAATCCATGTAAATTCTGCAACAACCTTCCTGATGAAGTTTCGTCTCATAAGCTGACATACCTATAAATTATCTGAGTATCTCCATGACTCCACATAATTTCATTTGACATTCATGTGACATTAGTAATTCAGTAGTGTAAAATATTTATTTAGAAGCATATATCAGTACACCTTAAATTCTGAAGGCTTCTATTTCAGACTTACTGTGTGCATATTATGGAATGTATAACATAAGTAAATTCAAGAAGAATCACACCTACCACAAGAGTGTCCAAAGAATCAATCAGTGTCAGGGAAAATCTAAGAAACAAGTATAACGAGATACAAAACATCAGAATTCTGGTTATTTTATTCATGAATGTGTAAGCAGATGGATCAATATCCTATTGACTGGCAGTTTCTATTAACTAGCACTCCATACACCTATAGTACAATGTAACCTATAAAGCACTGGAAGAACTTGAAAAGCCTTAATATTATATTTATTTTCAGCTCCACATCCTTCCAAATGAATAGAAATACTTACTAGCTTTTTTTAAAGCACATAAAAATATAAAAGCTTCAACACCTTATAATGTGTCCCAAATTTATACATGTGTTAAAAGTGACAGCCATCTCAAACAACTCAACTTTTCACTGATCTAAAAAGTAAACTGGTTAATTTTTTACAAAAGATAACAGAGGAAATAAAGGAACTTAGAGTAATACTCAAAGCAGTCATGAAACTCAAGCAATCCCCGGAAATATGACTGTAAATTGCCTCTAAGAAGTCTCAGACTTGGGAACTTGAGATGCCATCCCCCGTGTTAGTACTCACTTTCCCAAGGCATCGTCAACATCACCCCGACTTGGCTCCTGGCCTCTAACACGACCTCTGCAGGTTAAAGGCATGAGTTCATCAGCTGGGTAAGCATGTTCCTACAAGGAAAATCTTAGTGAGTCACTAGGAAAATAAGAGAAAGCACACATCACTTAGAGAACATAACCTTTTCACAGTTATTGTTTTAAAGAAAGTAAATTAAAGGTTAATTTAAAAAGCTACTATTTTTACAGTCTATACAATCTTTCTTTTAAAACAATTTAGTTATAAATGTAATACATACTTGAAAAAAAAACATAAGAAAACATTTCTTTAAAAATCTGATAATCTGCTTCCCCTCCACCCAACTTTACTCTTCAGAGATAACTACTGTTAAGAAGTTTATTCCTCCAGATTTCTCTGCATATATGAAAATACATAAACAAATATCATTTTAACATTTTATTTACAAAGAGGTGCTCATGTCATATGAACACACTGCTCTAAAATGTGTTTACTTAAATCATGGTGGGGATTTTCCACACTAGAATTTTATAGATGTCTCTTATCCCTTTGATTGCAAAGTCATCCTTTTTAAATGTTTTTCCTGATTTTTCAGAGATAGAGGAAGGGGGAGAGAGAGAAACATCGATGTGAAAGAGAAACATCGATCGGCTGCCTCTTGCACACCCCTCACCAGGAATGGCTGCAACTCGGGCATGTGCCCTGACTGGAAATCGAACCAGAACCTCTCAGTCCATGACACAACATTCAATCCACTGAGCCTCATGGGCTGGCTGCAAAGTCATACTCTAATATAGGCTGTTATGGAGTACTTATATTCTAAGCGCTGTTCTGCATACTTTAGTTCATTTAATTATCACATAACCCTCTGAAATACATTTAATTATCTCCATTCTCTACATGAGAAAACCGAGGCCCAGAGGAGTTAAGTAAGCCTATGTCATGCAACTAGCAAATGCCATATCCAGAATTCAAACCTGGCAACCTGACTCCAGGGCCTCCACACTTCATAATACCCTGTCTTCACAGTATTCCAAAGTATAGACATGCTACAATTTATTTATTCTTCTAGTGATAAATATGTAGGTTGAACTCAGTTATTCACTACATCAGCAATGCTGCAATAACCATCTATATGAATATATCTTTTGTACAGATGCTTGTATTGCTATGGATTAAATCCCTGGAAACAAGACTCAATGGGTCAAAGGTATGGATATTTAATTTTTGATAGCTACTATCAAATTGAAGACATCAGTTTACACTTTCTTGTTCCTCCTATACTTGTATGCCCATATGAGTCATAACTTTTAAGTTCAGCAAAAATATCCCCAATTCCATGTCCAACTCTATCCTACTGCCTCTCATTAAACTCAATTACATAATTTCAAACTCACGGCACATTAACAGCAGAATAGAGGCCAGGAACACTAAACACATAGTCAACAGAAAAAGGAAGACCCCCCCACCACTGCCCCCAAATAATTAAAGTAGGCTAAATACAAATAGCATTGAAGACTGAAACCCTTTAGGTATTTTTAAAAGTTCAGTGCTCCATAATGTTCATTTCCCAAGGAAAAGATTCCAGGCAGCAAATGTTTTGATATAATTAGAATCCACATGCAGCTACTAAATTCTGAATTCAATATTTTGTAATCTTAATATTACATATAATTTTTAGTATAAATTCCTAATTATTTTAACATGAATCTTTTACATGCCAAGTTCCTAACTACTTTTTCACTGTTAATTCCAACAGAAGTGTAATTTCCCAGAATGCACTATTTTTACTGCTTTACAGTTTCATATTTAACACACATAAAAACACTTAGAAGTAACTCAAGAAGAGTAATATTTTTAAACTTGCTGATGTTATTTTGAAAAATATCATTCAAATGTTAAATTGAGTTTACAAAGTTCCTTTAAAATCATGAGTTACTTAAGCCACTATTTAGAAAGCTGCATACTACTATTTTTAGGGTTTTGCAACACACACACACACAAACAATGATGTCTGAAATTAAATATGAAACTCAAACCCTAAGCTTAGCCAGATAAGAAAAATATTAATAGCACTGCAAACCAGAATAATCAAATAAGGGAGTTTTGAACCACGTGTAAAAATACTTCATGTTCTCCTGTTTCAAAATTAAGGATAGAAACAAAACCACAGCCTTTTCTTCGGGTTGACCACAAAGCGAACTACAGTTGGTTTGCGTAAATCCAGAATAATGCGTACGTGGCAAATAAACATCCGCATTATGCTTCAAACATCCTGGCTCTCTGAGGTACAGTACTGCTTTCTCTTCACAATGGATTGCCAGAACTAGTCACACTGCTATTACTCAAGTCATGACAAACATTTAACAATTATCACTCAGAAACAAAACTCTGGTGATAAAAGAGTTCAATATGAATTAAATAGAAAACGTGCCTAACTAAAAGCAAGAGTGAAAACATAAAATAAAAACTCTGAACATTAGATTCTAAATTTACTAGAGGTTTGAAGTGATAACATTCTGTCTGAAAAACACTCAAGTCAAAGCAGCATCAAAAACTGACTTTTCATAAAACCAATTCCAAAAACTAGGCATAGGTAAAAGACTTTACTGTACTAAAAACAATTAATGAAACAAAAGCATTATTTATAAAAGTGAGTTATTGAAAGTATCAAATCTATTAATTTCCAATAGTTATATACATTTTTAAATGTTTTATTCTAGATCATTAGGACCTCCCTTCTTGAGGCAGATAAGATATTCCTTCCTAAAATAAAAACTAAATGATACTTAATAAACCATCTATCACATACTGATGATAGCATATGCTAATTAATGACTGAACTTACATAATTTATCACTTCTCTTTTCACCCTTGGTCAAATTTTCCTATTCCCTTTGCTCACTATTTATATTCACTTAGCAAACCATTTTTCAGGTGTTTAGGATCGCATTTATTTGGATTTGATCAATGATAAAATAAACTGACCTCATGAAATGTTGTATGAAGTAAATAATAAATAATTTAATAATGAAATAAAGCCCTGCTATTAACAAAATTTTTAAAGAAGATTATATCAATAGATGTAAAAGAAAAAAGCACTTGACAAAATTCAACACCCTGTAATGATGCAAATTCTCAGCAAATGAGAATTAAAAAGAAATTTAATCTAATATAAAGCATCTATGAAAACAACAATTAACACCATACTTAATAGTGAAAGGCAACTGCTTTTTCCCTAAGATTAGGAGCAAGGCCAGGATCTTACGACGTCTTTTCAACATAATACTAAAAGTCCTAGCCGCTGCAATAAGAAGAAGAAATAAAAGGCATATAGATTGAAAAGGAAGAAGGAAAAGTCTATTTGTAGATGACAGGACTGACCATGTACAAAATCCTAAGGAATCTACCTCAAAAAGCTACTAGAAATAATAAGTGAACTTAGCAAGGTTGCAGGGTATAAGGTTAACAGACAAAAAAGTTTTTGTATTTCTGTGTAACATCAACGGACAACTGGAAATTAAAATTTGAAAACCTGTAATTTACAACAGTGTCAAAATTATGAAATAATGAATACATTTAACAAAAGATGTGCAATATCTGTATAATGAAAACTACAAAACACTGCTGACATTAAATGAGGTCTAAATAAATGAAAAGAGCCCTGGCCAGTTTGGCTCAGCAGTTAGAGCATCGGCCCATGGACCAGAGAGGCCCGGGTTCGATTCTCACTAAGTGCACATACTTCAGTTGCAGTTTGTCCCCAGCCCCGGTTGGGGTCATGTGGCTGGCAGCCAGTCGATGTGTCTCTCTCACATTGATGTTTCTCTCTCTCTCTCTCTTCCTCTCTCTCTCCCTCCTGTTCTATCTGAAGACAAGTGCAAAAATGTCCTCGGGTGAGGATTAAAAAAAAACAACACAGAAATCTCTGGCCAATTTGGCTCAGTGGTTGGATTGTTGGCTCACAGACCAAAGGGTCACGGGTTCGATTCCCAGTCAAGGGCACACACCGAGGTTGAAGGTTCAATCCCTAGTTGGAATCGTGTGGGAGGCAACCAATCGAGGTGTCTGTCTCACAACTGATGTTTCTCTTACACTCCCTCCCTTTCATTCTATCTAAATAATAATAATAATAATAAATAAATGGACAGAGACACCATGTTGAATTGGAAGACTCAAGATTGTAGTCAATCTCCTCAAATTGATCAATGGCTCAATAGGCTTTTTTGGTAGAACTGACAATATGATTCTAAAATTTACATGGAAATGCAAAGAACCTAAAATATTCAAAACAACTTTGAAAAAGAACAAAGCTGAACCACCTAATATCACACTTAAGATATTGTGAGATGAATGTGCAAATAAATATTTAGATCAATGGGGGAAAAATACAGGGTCTGGAAACAGACTCATACATTTAAGGTAACTGATTTTACACAGGTACAAAGTAATTCAATAGGGAAAGGGTATTCTTTTCAACAAACAGTGCTGGAACAAGTGGCTATCCACATAGAAAAAAGTATATATAAATCAATCTTTAACTCAACTATATACATACATTAACTTAAAATAGGTGATAGATCTAAATAAACAAGCTAAAGTTATAAACAACTAGAAGAAAATCTTTGTGACCCTAGGCTGGGTAAATATTATTTAGGTAGGATATAAAAGACATGAATCATAGAAGAAAAAAGGGTAAATTGGACTTGGTCACAATTTAGAACATTTACACTTCAAAAGACATTGTTAAGAAAATTAAAAGGCAAAGCACAGACTGGGAGACAATATCTGCAGAACATACAGGGATGGGCAAAAGTAGGTTTACAGTTGTGACTATGCAAAAAAGTTTATTTTTGTATTATTTATTAATTACTGTATTATTTACTATTATTAACCTATTTTTGCCCATTCCTGTATATGAGATAAAGGACTGATATCCAGAATATATAACTCTTACAACTCATTAACAAAACAAATGACCTGTTTTTAAAATGAGCAAGAGATCTGAACAGACACGTCACACACACACAAAAATGTGTATATATACATACACACACACACACACACACACACACACACACAGTGCATGGAAAGAAAATCTTTTATTTCCAACATCATTAATCATCAGGAAAAATCAACTTAAAATCACAACAAAATGCCCCTCCACACTCACCAGAATGGCTGAAATTAAAACTGAGCCCTGGCCGGTTTGGCTCAGCAGTTAGAGCATCGGCCTGCGGTACAGAGAGACCAGGGTTCGGTTCCCACTAAGGGCACGTACCTCGGTTGCAGTTTGTCCCCGGCCCTGGTTGGTCATGCGGGTGGCAGCCACTCTATGTGTCCCTTTCACGTCGATGTTTCTCTCTCCCTCCCTCCCTCCCTTCCACTCTAGCTGAACAAAAAATGGAAAAATGTCCTCAGGTGAGGATAAAAAAAAAATAAAAAAAACACCCCACACTGAAAATCCCAAGTTTTGGAAGGGATGCAGAGTACCTGAAAACTCTTACACACTGCTGGTGGGAAATGCAAACTCTAACAGCCACTTTAGAGAACTTTGGTAGTTTCTTATAAAGTTAAACTTACCCTTCCTATATGACCCAGCAAGCCCATTCCGAGGTGGGAAATATATGAAAATGTACGACCACACAAAAACTTGCATTCTCAGGTTCATAGCAGTCTTTTTAATAACAGCCAAAGACCAGAAACAGGCCAAATATGTATCAACTGTTGAATGGATAAACAAACTATTGTATCGAATCAACTAAATACTACTGAGCAATTATCAGAAGTCACAATATATCCAACAACATGAATACATCTCAAAAGCATCATGCTAAGTGAAAGAAGCTGAATCAAAAGACTATGTACAGTATGATGGCAATAACATGAAATCCTACAAAAGGGAAAACTATCGTGACAAAAAGCAGATCACAATGGCCACTGGAGGCCAAGTGGGGAAAAAGAACTGACTGCAAAGGAGGACCAGGAAGCTTTCTGGGGTAATGGAAGTGTTCTATTATCATCATTGTGAGGGTAAATAACTGTACAATCATCAAAACTCAAAATCAAGCATTTAAAATTGGAAAATTTGTATCTGTAAATTATACCTAATTAAACAGCAAGACCTGGTTCTACAAAGTTAAAATCCTACATCGAGTATCAAAGTGTGATAATAAAACATTATGAAAGGCTACTATAGAATTTCTTAATGTCATTTTGGCAGTTTCATAACGTTCTAGAAATAGAGACCAAGGAACAATGGTTAACAAAAGGTAGTCCCAGAATATCTACACACACAAAAAGATAAATTTGTATCTTCTCTCCACCAAGTCATTAGTAGCACATCTAGACCACCTTATTTATAGAACTACTCCTTTTCATGACAAACTATCAAAAAGAAAGATTAGGTACAGATTTTCAAATGGGGAATATGAAAGAATTCTAGAAATAGATGGTGATGGCTGCATAGTGCAAATGTACTCAATACCACAAAACTGTACACTTAAAAATGGTTAAAATGGTAAATTTTACATATATTTTACACTCCAATTTTTTTAAAAATTAGAAAAAAAGTAATTCTAAGAAAACTCACATAAACTAGACACCCATAAAGAAGTTACATTTTAAAACAGTTCCTTTGGTTGAATGATAAAAAAGACTAGTGTTTCTTTGAACCGAGCTCTCACAAAATCGAGCGCAGAAGTGGTCACTATGATTCCACTAGTGAAAGCGTACTTTCCAACCCTTTCAGAGTTTATTTGCAATGTTCAGAGCTCTACCAAAGTACGGTTTTTGCTTATAATAGTTTTACTGAGTCGTCTACAATAGATAGGAAAAACACTGGAAGACAAGGATCAGATCAGAGCTCAGGTCCAAAACAGTTCTGCATTTGGTGGCCTAAATACATGTCATTTTGTCATCTAAATTAATCTGCAAACTGACCTCAGCACGAATACTAAAAACATGCTAATAGAAGCCCTAAAGTGGCTGTAGTCTGGGGTTAAATAAGGGCACACAAGAACGGCCAAAATAATCAAATTTCATGTTATTTAGGGAAAAGAGAATGCCATCTGTGCAATTCACTGTGGATAAACTGCAGTCTGATTGGGGCTAGAGATTTGTCAAACATAGATGTCATCATGTTAATATTTATGCCTATAACTGATAAAATCCAAAAATTCCTGGATGTAACACCAAGGGATTGCAGAGATGTAGAAATCTGCCTAAAGCTGGCAGAGCACTGTTACTGAAAAATAGTATTAACAGAAACGGAAAGGAAAAAGGTACCCTCAAAAGGTACATGCCTAGAACAGGAAAGAATGTGTATCGGTTAAGGAAGTTCTAGGTACACTCTGGGGAGTGAGCTGTGAGTTAAAGCCTGGCGAAGTTTTAGGAGGGCAATTTCAATCTCAGGTAGAGAATGAATAATGACAGCAGTAGTGCGTGCAGCTGTAAACTCATGCAGTGCTTCCCGTTTGCCGGACACTAGTTCAAAGCACTTGCATTAACTTGTTTAATCATTATGACAACACTGTGAGGCAAGCAGACCATTTCAGAGAGACGAGGAAACAGCCTCAGGAAGATTGTAACCCAGCTGGGTAGGTGGCAGGAAGGTGTCCTGCTCCATTTCCAGTTCTTGCTCTTAATCATATTCTACTGCCTGTCTTTGGAAAATCCCACTGTTTTCCTGGGAACCAAGAAGGTAAAAAGGAACTGCTCTAATTGTAGTCTAGGCTGGAGAGTAATATTAAAAAGAACTAGTGAAAAACGCAAAGCTTTCAACATTTATTAAAAGCCCACCATGTGCTGGCCATTTTTACATTTTAGCACAGTAGGCAACTGACTATTACAAAGTAAATTAAATATAAAGACTTATATATCCCCAAATTCACCTTAAACTTGTATTTTTAATGAAGTTTATTAAATGATTTCTTTAAGTTTAAAAGGCAAAGATATATCACAATAGTCAAATGTAAAAAATTAAGCACTGTTTGATTGTATCTTTACAAGAATTCAATTCAGTTCTTTAAAAAAAAAAAAAAAACAACTTAATACGCACTTATATACCAAGCATGAAGCTAGACACAGGACATATAAAAAATAAATTTTATTAAAATTAAAGAAAATGGCCCCTGTTTTCAAAGATTTAAACTCTGCAATCTTATAACCTTTGCAATTATCCCCATTTTTAGGAAGACACTACTCAGAGGGGTTAAATGATTTGTGTAGGGTTCAAGCTATGAAACAGCTGAGATGAGATTTGAGCTCAAACCTACCTAACTCCAAAACCCATACACTTTTACTCTACAGCAAGCCAACAGTGCTTCTGAGTGTAAGAACTAGAAGAATAATTTCACCTGACTTCAAATAACAAATACAGGGCACCTGCTCTATGTTTAATATTTTGAAACGGTTTCATGTTAGTTGAGAACCTGAAAAGGGGAAGCGTGAATTCTAGACTAAATCTGGGGTTATGAAACTCACATAAATTGAGTGAGCATAACACAGGTACATTGTAAGAATCACTCATGTTGTAAAACAGCTGAACATTTTAAAATAAGTATTGCACGTACTGCAGCTGGGTGTGCCTCTACTGGAAAAATGGAGGGGAGTGTTAACTGCAGTAGTTCCTAGTCTTTGGAGCTGAAATTCCTCTCCTTCAGATCTTGCAGGTGAGTAGTTGTAATAGAATGTTACCTAGTTAGGGTCCAATAAATAGGAACTGGACTAGAAAATCCTCCGAGGGCTGCCCTCAATAGTGCTCTGTCACAAACCCATGTATTAAGTGTATTCTAGAATAGCACAACTATACTGATAAAACTTTCTGCTGTTTACCTATTAAGTGACAAGATACTAAAGATACTGTGCTTTACAAAGAGAGGATTCTCTTCATAGTGAGATGTATGAAGACTGATGCAGCTATATACCATTTTATTTAACTTTGGATCCAAAAGTATGCATTTTTGAGATTGCTAAGGTTTCAGGGCATATAGCATGGGTCCACTTGGCCATCTAAAAACCATTAGCCTAGATTGGTTAAATTATGCTTTGTCCAAACTGAATTAACCAGGGATAAATGATTTTTTTCACAGGCGCCAGAACCAACGATCACCAGCTGCCCAGACACCAAAATATTCTGCTTCCGAAACCCTGATGTCGATCCTGCAGGTAGAGCAATCAAGCTGCCCTACATGTGCCACTCACAACAGAAGCCTTTTTTGGATAAATTATTTTTAAAAAAACATTAAGAAAATGACTGAAATCTAAAGAAATGAATTTAAATCTGTGCTTTCAATATAATTAAAAATACCCCAAACTTCATCACCATCACATTCTAAAATCATTTATTAAGAATTCAATATATACTCTTAAAAAATGCACAAATAAAGAGGAACAGGATCATCAAATATACAAAATGTTTAAAAAATGCACAAATGAGAAAAGTATTTGTATTTAGATGTAATAATGTTAGTATATGAAGATATCTGAATAATATATAATGAAAAATGGATTTACAGAATCACATGAAAAATATTTAAAAGCAGAATGCACTAAAGTTAGTTCTCTGTCAAACTTTTCCCAACTACTTTTTGATAGGCCTTAATCATATAAGAAAATCTGACATTATGAAGTGTAAAAACAAGGTTATAAGCAGTAATTCTCATAACCTGAACTCTAAAAAATTACACACAAAATTTCCTTTTGAATTCTAAAATGTGCTTGCTAGTTCATTTTTTTAAAAAGTTAAAAAAAAATTTTTTTGAAGTTTAAGATCATTTTATTGAAGGACAAAAGCAGGGGTAAATGGGGGAGAGCTATAGCACCCCCTAGTCTCACCATGGGAAAAAGACCCTCCTCCCAAATTCTACCTCACATATAACATAAAATTTACCATTTTTACCAGTTTTAAGTGTAAATTCAGCAGGTTGAAGTATATTAACTGTTGTGCAAAAGATCTCCAGAACTTTTTCATCTTAAAAACATGAAACTGCTATTTCATCACAAGTGAGCACTAAGACATTTAAAAACAGTATGTATCAGCATATCCGAAATCAAAATATATTCAAATCAAAGCCCACCATAAGGGTATAATTTGGACAGTGACTACAAAATTAAGTATTATTGAAAATAGTTTTTTGTGTTTTTTTTTTACTTAAGAAAATAATTTAAGGCAAGAGATAACATCTTATTTATGTTTACATCCCCAATATTTAGCTACAGAAAGCACTCAATAAACACTGCTGATAGCATCTAAGGAAACTGTTTAGCCCAGCCAATGTGGCTCAATGGACTGAGCGTTGTCCCGTGGACTGAGAGGTCCTGGTTCGATTCTGGGTCAGGGCACATGCCTGGGCTGCAGGCTTGATCCCAGGTAGGGGGCATGCAGGAGGTAGCCAATAGAGTCTCTCACATCAATGTTTCTCTCTCTCTCTCTCTCTCTCTCTTCCTCTCTCCCTAAAAAACCAATAAAAACATTTTTTTTAAAAGGAACTGTTTAAATTATTGCATAATCTATTTCAACTTATTCTTACCTATTCAATAAATTGGTTCTCTAAGAGCCCCTACCAGGAATACTCTGTTAGCTTATATTTGTACTGATTTTTAAACTTTTATTTTTTTAAATGTGCTATTAATTTAGGTTTCAACACTCCCAAGACTGTGGTCACATCATAATCAGTTCACATGAATGGTATATAAAGATAAGCTTTCTACTTACCATATAGTTACCATAAGCATGATCAAACATTTCCAGTACTTGATTCCTAATTTTAAAAGAGGAGAAATAGAAAAATTTAAGTATATATTTATTGTCTTTGACAAAATAAACACTCCTTCATAAACATACACCAACAAAAACAAACAAAAAACATTGACTTAGAAGAGGACATAAACAGAGTCGGGAAATACAACAGTGTTAGTCAACAAGCTTTCATGAACCACGCAGAGCTGGCCAAACTTTCAGTATCCCTTCCTAGCAACTCATGTAAAATTCATCTTATAATTTTTCCAAAGAAAACTGATGAACGATGCATGTCATGCAGAGAGAAGGAAATCTGATGCTGAAAAACAACTACCTCTTAACAAAATTATTTAACATCTGTCTTGAAAGGGGTATACTGCTGGAGAGCCCCAAAAAGAAATAATTATTGCTTATATTATATATTCTGCCAAAAGAGAGGCACGGGTATGTGTATATATTGATGTGAAATAACAATACTCTATCAAGCCTCTACCTCTCCCTTTAAACTGAATAAAATCACTAATGTGTAGTTTAATACATATTTATTAACGTCTGTCACATTTTCTAAAAATACATGTGATGATTTTATGGTATTCTCTCAACTCCTTTAAAAAAACCATCAAAAGTCAAATAAACAATATTCACCTCTAAAATAAGAAAACTAATCCTCAAAAAGAGATTTATGTTTTGCCTGTTTCTCAAAATCCCCAAAATGACTGTTTAAAATGGAGATTTCTGATCCCCACACCTGATTTACTAAGTCAAATTCTGCAAGGTTGGGACTAAGGAATCAGTCTTTAAATGAAATGCTCTCAAGTTTGGGGGCTTGAGAACTACACGAAAAACTATAAAAGTTAATGTTATGGCTAAAATCTCTCATTAGCAAGGGAAAATAGTTTAATAATCTTTTACTAACGCTATTATTCCCAAGTTCCTAAAGACAAGAATTGAAGAAGTGTTACAGAAAATGGTTGGATTTAATTTTATTTTGCCTCTTGCTATATTGCAATTGTCAGTCTAAAAACTATACATGGCCCAGCTAGTGTGGCTCAGTGGCTGGGCATTGACCTATGTACCAAGAGGTCTCTGGTTTGATTCCCAGTGAGGGCACATGCCCAGGTTGCAGGTTTGAACCCTGGTAGGGGGTGTGCAGGAAGTAGCCAATAGATATTGATGCTTCTCTCTCTCATTGATGTTTCTAGCTCTCTCTCCTTCTCTCTTCCTCTCTCCCTAAAAAATCAATAAAAAACATTTTTTAAAAAAATTGTACTCATGGATGGATGAAATACTGGTAAAAATAAAGCTAGCAGACAGAAAAGGACTAATTTCCAGATGCTGGCTTATAATGACTAGTAAAATCAAGTACACATAAACTTGTGAACTAATAAAGTAAGTCCTGACAACTTTTTCTATTAATCATTTAGAAACATCTAATCACTAAAAAAAAATCTTATCGCCCTGGCCGGTTTGGCTCAGCGGTTAGAGCATCGGCCTGCGGTCCTGAGAGACCCGGGTTCGGTTCCGGCTAAGGGCGCGTACCTTGGTTGCAGTTTGTCTCCGGCCCTGGTCGGTCGTGCGGGTGGCAGCCACTCGGTGTGTTCCTTTCACATCGATGTCTCTCTCTCTCTCTCTCTGTTCCTCTCTCTCCTCCCACTCTACCTGAACAAAAAAAATGGAAAAATGTCCTCGGGTGAGGATAAAAGAAAAAAAAAAAATCTTATCACTTTGCTAAAACATTAATTATTTGTGTTTATATGTACGATAGGATATGGATTAAGTTATCTCAGAAAATTATGGAGTATCTTAAAGAATCCTTCTAGACGCTCATTATACTGCAGGTGATCAAGATCTCTTAAATTAGCTAATGAACCAAAAACAATAAGAAGTTAAAATTTCCCTTTCAAGCAATGATACCAATATATATAATATGGGAATTCTTTTCCCTTCCCCTGAAATAAAATCAATACAAGATTATTGCCAAGAAGTAGAAATTCCTGTCAATGGTAGTGCCTAGACATGTGTATTACAGATAACATAAGCTTTAACCTGTTAACCCAACTTTGCAAGCATTCAGTTTTCCAGATTATGAATAAATTATGAATGCATACAAGGACACATTATTTTCCAATCCTTATATTATATAGCACACAATCAGCAAATTTCACAACACATATAATTCAAAGTAGTGATATTTAATATCCAGTTAACTCTCTCTCTCTTACTTTAACATAAAAGTCCTAATAATGTCATATTTAAATACAGAATAGGATAATTACTATATTAAACAAAAAATATTTCTATAAAGTTTGATATCTATTCAACAAATGGGAATAAAATGTGTTGGAAATCAGATCCACAGTTCAAAAATAGTCTCATTTCAAAATAATTTCTATAAGTCAGCTTTTTCTAAAGTCACATTGCCTGCTAACGTGCTACAAAAGAAACTGGACCGTTTTACACTTTTTAATGAAAATGTAATGTTAACAACTGCTGTAACATTCAAAACACAAAAGCAAAAACAACTTATTCCAGGAAGGATAAGACTATATATGACTAGGTAAATAATTCCAAAAACTATAAACTACAGGCAACTGAGCAATTGCTTACTATTCGGGACAATTCCATTATTTAATCAGTTCGGTTTGGGAGGAGAGAAAAGAGAGCATTGTGCTTTTTATCATAAATCATATTTGGGCTTTTTTAAAAAAAAATCTCACAGGTAAACCTCATGAGTCAAGATTTCACTTTCCTGGAAATTTCCAGAGGGGAAAGCAGTCAAGCAATTGTGTATTTGTGGTTTATAGCTCTAGGCTCTTATTCTACACTTAGCCTAGAAAAAGGAAATCTAAATCAACAAGCCTAAATTATTATAACTGCACTTGCATAAATGATCTCAAAATTTGATCTGAATTGGTTGGACTTTTCCAGTTATAAATTAACATTGGTCAAAAATGACTATTCTTCAACTAGAAATTTTTAATAAAAAAGGGAGAAAGGGGAATGATAGTCAAATAAGATACTTGCTTGAAGTCTATTTTTCCAAGTCTTAAGGAACTGCTGGAGAGTATGGGCTCTAGGTCATACAGACCTGGGTTTGAATACTACTAGCTCCATCTAGTAGCTCAGGGACTTTGAACAAGTCAACCTTGAGTCTCAATTTCCAAATCTGCAAAATGGGGATCATATCTAACTTATTAAGAAACAGGGAGGCCCGGTCAGTGTGGCTCAGGGGTTGAGCACAGATCCATGCACCAAGAGGTCACATGTTCGATTCCTGGTCAGGGCACATCCCCAGGTTGTGGGCCAAATCCCGGGGGGGAGGGAGGGGGGAGGCATGCAGGAGGCAGCCAATCGATGTTCTCTCTCATTGATGTTTCCATCTCTCCCCTACCTCTTCCTTCCTCTCTCTCTAAAATCAATAAAGAAAAAAAAATTTTTTTAAAGAAACAGGATGACAGAAATAATATGTAAAGTGCCTGGCACAGAGTAGGGTTTTCAGTAAAACAGTTATCAATGATACACTCAGTTAATAAAAAGAAAATTTAGGATACATATTAGACTTGACTGGTGATTTTGTTTTAATAGCTGATGTTTTCTCTTTTTTCCATCAAGCTCTTTTATTGCTGTTTTATTTAAAAATACAGGACTCTTGCCCTGGCCAGTTTGGCTCAGCGGTTAGAGCATCAGCAGGAGGACCAAAGGGTGTCGAGTTCCGTCCAGTCAAGGGCATGTACCTGGGTTGCAGGTTTGATCCAGGGCCCATCCCGGGCCATGGCTGTGGTCCTGCAGAAGGCAACCAGTCAATGTTTCTCTTTCTCTCTCTCTCTCTCTCTCACCCTCCCTCCCTCCCTTCCACTCTCTCTAAAAATCAATGGAAAAATATCCTAGGTGAGAACAAAAAAACAAAAATAAAAACACAAGACTCTTGCAACAATATAAGCAATAAGTATATAAAATAAAACCTGATGGTTTCACCTCACCTCCTAACCCCAAAAGATAAACATCTCTCCATATTTTTCTGAGCTTAGACAACTTTTCTATTTAAAAAAAAATAACAAAACACATGGGATGGTATTATACATATTATTCTACAACTTGCCTTTTTTTTAATCCTCACCCGAGGACATTTTTCCATTTTTGTTCAGACAGAGTGGGTGGGAGGGAGGGAGAGAGAGAGAGAGAAACATCGATGTGAAAGGGACACACTGAGTGGCTGCCTCCTGCATGACCCCGACCAGGGAGCAACTGCCGAGGTAGGTGCCCTTGACCAGAATCCAACCTGCAACTCATTGGTCCGCAGGCCGACGCTCTAACTGCTGAGCCAAACCAGCCAGGGCTACAACTTGCTTTTATTTTTTTTTTATCTTGGTTATTAATATATCCTGAATAGTTTTCCAGTGATCTATCTTCTCCTCAATGTCTGAATATCATTTCATAATATGGATACTCCAGGGAACAATTTTGTTCTTTCAAAATGCACACACTTGTACACTTATCTCTACCTTGACAGTGCTTTTATTTCTGTACGATAGATTCCTAGAGGTGGGATTAATGAATCCAAGAGTGCATACAATTTAAATTTTAGGAGTAATAGCAAGTGTCCTTCCCACCAAGGTTTATCTCACACCTCAACTAGCTCGTTTTCTATCCATATGTTTTGTATTTACTAATCTGATGATAAAAAAACAGCTGTCTCATTAGCTTGACGATGCATCTCTCACATTTATGAAGCTGAATTACTTTTCATGTTTATTGACCATTTGCATTTCCTCTTGTGATAATTAACTCTTCAAGGCCTTTGCCCATTTTCTACCGGTCCTTGGCTTTTTTCTTATCCATCTGTGGAACCTAGGGTATTATTTTAGGAATACTGACTCTGAATTAAATGCCGCAAATATAGCTGACAATTTTATGACACTTCCAAGACTGATAAACTACGTAAAGTGAATAGGTATACTTAACTGGGGCTTTTGAAAATACCATCGAATACTGTTCTATTGAGAAAATGCGGTGCAAGAAATGGTAAAACGTGTCAAGTTCAAGTTCCAATGAACGCCCCCTTTTGCTGTAACAGGTGTAAACACTATTTCCTGTGAGATCAGCATTTCCCAGCGGGAGCTCACTTGCGCGAGCATCGAACCTACCGCCAGGGCACCCACCCAGGACCCTCCCGCGCAGCGACACCGACGGCGGCCCCCTTCACGGGCCACTGACATGGCAGCCGCGTTGGCACACCGCGGCTGGCTTCAAGGAGCCCGCACATGCCACCGACGGCGACACCCGACAGTTCCCCGAGGTCACGACGCGGGCGGCGGCCCCCACCTTCCCGGAACCGGTCCACCCCACCGGGGTCCTCGCGAGGCCACAGACGTCCCGTCGCGACGAGAGAGGCCGCTGCACGCCCGGGTCGCGATGACAGGCACCGTGCCTGTGGTCGGCCACCCGGGGAAACCCACCCATCTGCCAAGCACTTACCCAAGCTTCTGTTTCTCCTCCCTACTCATGGGCGCGGCCCCCGCCGTCCACATGGACGTGGCCGTCACCAGGCAGAGCGCGGCCGTCGTCGCCACCAGGCTCCATGGCGCTCGCTGGGGGACCGGGGACCCACAGCCGCGGCCGCCTCCGGCTTCGCTCATGGCCCCGCGGTTCCGCGCACGCGCAGCGACTACGCCCGGCCGGTGGGACACATCGCCGGACGCGGGCGGCGAGGGGGCTGCGAGCCCTGCCGAGGGCGGGATGCGGAGTAAAGCGAGCGGCCGCCGTCGCCGAACTGTTTCCCGAAGCCGCCGAGCCGGTCCCCAGCGCCAGTGCTGCCACCGCCCTCCGCCCTCCGCAGCCGGAGCGCCTCCCCCAGCTTTCCGGTGTCGTAGTCTAGGAAACCACCTCCCCCGGCGCTACTTCCGGGTAGGGCCCCAGACGCTGAGCCCCGGGGCCAATGCGGACCGGATCGGAGAGGGGCCGGCCCCGGAGACAGGAGACGCCATTGGCCCGGGGAAGTGAGACGTGGACAAAAGGCGGGACTGCGAGGAATCTGTCGCTTGGGGCCGCCTCTGACCCCTAAACTTGCCACCTGAAGACTACCGGTCCCAGCGTGCACTGCTCCCTCCCCTTGGGTCCCGCAGCCCGACTCCGCCGGCCTGAGCGCCCACCGGCGGGCGCGCTGCACCCTGGGATGTGTGGTCCTCCGCGGGTTCCGGGCGCTCCCGGGGATTCCGCTCTCCCCGGCTGCCTGCGGCCGGCCCTCCCTCGCTGGAGCCAGCCCTTCCTCCCCGGAGCTCGTCAGCTCTTTATCCCTCCTGCGGCGAGTGACGTCTCCCAGAAGGCCGACCGGGTGAGGCGCACACGGCCCTGGCTCGGCGCCACACACTTCATTTTAGGGAGCTGTTGGTTGGCGCGATCCTCTGCCCTCAGGGAGGTTACAAAACACGAACAGCAGTCACGAATTGAGCCTTCGACGGCAGTGTGCTGAGCGTTTTACTCGCACTCTCATGCACCCTTCCCAACTGTAGTGGGTAAGTGCCCCCATCCCTGATTTGCAGACGAGGAAACTAAGGCTAGAGGAGTTAGGGAACAAGCCCTTGTCACACCCCTGCGTTAGCTAAGAGTCCAGCCAGCCTTATGACTCTGGAAGGCCTTGCACGCAACCACTGTGTAATGCCACGAGGGGGAAGGAGAGCACATGAGGCCTCACACTCGATTCATACTAGTTATTAAAAAGCTCGCTGGAAGGGGAGCGGTGTGAGCTGCAGAGAAAGTTTAATGCAGGAGATTGGAACTTGCCATTTATTTCTGATGACGGAGTCCCGGGTTCACCACTGGGGAAATGAGGTTGAGTTCCTTTAGAAAAACCACGTTGTTATTCTTGTGTGATCATTCAGTAGGTCGGTGCAGAGTTTAGGAGCTCGGATGTGATGTCTCTGACCACAGGAAATCGCTTACTCATCCCCTCAGCAGCATTCAGCTCCTCCTGGAAACTTTTCTTTCTGGATTTCTTTCACCTTGCGCCATCCACCTCCCTCCCAGACTGACCATTCAGATGACACCAGTGACTCCTCTTCCTTCACTGCTTCTCTTCCCTGCATGTTAAGGTTTTTTTGTTCTCTCTCTCTCTCTCTCTCTCTCTTTCTCTCTCTCTCTCTCTCCTCTCTTCCTTGGTGATTTCTTCCACTCATATGGATCCAACTGTCATATCCTTGTGGTTGATTTCTAAATCAGTGTGTGTCCTGATCTCTAGACACACATTTCCACCTCCCTAGTAGAAATGCCCCTTTGTCTGGCCCAAGGGTAGCTCAATGTCATACGTTCACTGGTTCAAATTAATGCATCAGAATCTTCTTCAACCCATCCTCCTCCTTCATGGTTCTTGCCCAATTTGTTGCCAGATTATCTAGGTTCTACTTCTGCTATCACTACCTTTCTACTCCTACTTCTGCTCAGTTCCAGGCTACATTACCTCTTTCCTGAACTGTTGCACTGACCTCTAAATTATTTTCCTGCCAACCTACTTTTCTGTGCATTGCTATCAGAGTTGACATTCAAGGACATCTGTAAACCCTCTGAACACATCATCTCCCTTCTACTCCTGCCCTGCCCTGCCCTCAAATCCTATATGATCACTAATCGTCTCCCGTTACATTGTGCCTTTGCTCTTAGTGCCTTTGCTCTTAGTATCCCCTCATGTATACCACCACCTTTGTCTGTAGAACACTCATCATCCATTAAGTCTCAGATTCCATCTCCAAAAACCTTCCAGTCACTAAAGTCATCCTCTCCCCTCTTCTTCTATTGTGTCCTGTGTCTTTATTACTATGTTTTTCATAGTCAGCCATGTCCACTAGATTGTGACTGCCTTAGGGGGTATTGATGTTAGCTTATTTACATGTGTGTTAAAAAACTCAGGACTGTGCCACTCCTGTTACAGATGCTCAATAAATGTTGGATCTACTTGTTTCCTTATTCCTTCAGTCTCCTTATCTATAAAATGAGATTAATATAGTCCTTTCATCTACCTACGTGGAGGTTGTGAAAACACATGAGGTCATTTTTTTACAGTGTTTAATTTTATCCTTTTTATGGACCTGCAATCCTATATTGGCTCCATCCTGGATCCTTTTCCACAGCTTTAATGATGAAGTTAGGTAAATAAATAATATCTGAATTGTTCTTGGCCCTGGCATAGAGAACCTGACGAGCTAAAGGTTAACACCCATCATCTAGTATTTGAAAACTAGGAACAAAGGAAATAGAAAAATAGTCAGTGACCTTTAGTACTGGCTTTTAATGTGTAGAATTTTCTGGTGTGTGTGTGTGGGGGGGGGGTTGTTTTTGTTTTTCCCTTCCTTGTTTGTTTTCAAACTAACACTGCATTTTAAAAGTGTAAAATGAGAACCTAGAATATGTTCTTTGTTGACTTGCTAAATAATAAGCATCTTTTCTCTCTTACTGAAATTCAATTTTTAGTCAATGACTTAGTCCATTTTTCACAAATCTCTGCAAAACCCTAAGTAGCAAAGCTTGTGTAGCCTAAAAAACATTGCAACTTATCCTATCTAAGGTGGAGCCCCTGAAAGTGAAAGAGAAATATATTCTCAGTGTATTTCAAAAGGGAACCCATTCTAACCCCTGAACAGAAATAGTAGAAATTCTCAGCTAACTGGCAGTTTACGGACACTGGGAAAGTTTTACATCTATTATTTTAAAGATTACAGACATTACTGTAGAACCTTTACACTTGGTGATGAAAACAATATAGGAGTTAAACAGGAGAGACCGTGGCATGTTATACAGGGGGAGAAACACTGGCGGGAAAGCATTCAGGAGAAGGACTTTTAAAGAATATTTTAGATGTGCAAAGCCCAATCAAAATAGCAAGAAATAAGAACCATTTATAAGATGCCCTTTAACCAGTTCAGAGTTTGTTTGTACAGCCTTGTGGCTTATGTAAACATTTCTGCTCACCTAGTATTCTCTTTATTGACTTGCACGGATGGATCAGGAGTTAGAAGGGGGAGGAGTCCTGGTTAGAATCATATGGATTCACAAACATAAGGGAAAGTCTCCAGTTTAATATTATGGCTCAGACGTGGTCCCAGGAGACTGTGACCAGCTGTGTGACTATACAGCAGCAGTTGCCCCTAAATGATTTGAATTCTTTGATATGACAGATCTAATTACTCCGAAAACTGTGGTGTGGAATTTGGGAGTGGTGACTTTGCCATTCTGCAGATCACCGTTCCGGTTATATGACAGTGTATGGCATTTGCAAAACACTTTTCTTCTTGAGAACCCAATCTTGCAAATATCGAAAGACAGTACTTACTGTATGTTCACAACTAGGGACTTTAAGGCCCTGAAAAGAGTACTTCATGAAAAAGGTACTCAGTGAGTGTTGTAGACTGACTCCGTGCCTGGCTGTCTGCCTGACTTATCCAAAGTCCAAGAAAGAGAACGGGAAATCTGGATGATTTACTACCCCCAGTGATGTTCCCAGGGCTTTTTCTACCTTCACTCATGATTTGAGATCTTCAAAATCACTTCCGCTTCAGCTTATTACTCCACTTCTCCCAGTGACACCAGCACCAGCTCTCGTAGGCCAGAGATTTGGCTCCTAAATCATGTTTAACGTTAAGGTCACCCTTGTGGTTGTGGCTCTCATTTAGCAGTTATTTTCCATTTACTGTATGTGTCAGAGAAAAAAGGCAAGTCCCATGGCTCTTCACAAGGTAGTGCATCTTGCCTCTGCCCCTCTCCTAAATCCCCATTTTGCACTGCTGACATAGTTTTTACTTGACATTTCAGTCTGGACACACAGGTTTTAAGTCAGCAACATTCTGCACAAGTAGCAAAGGTAGCGTGATGGCAGAGAACAAGGGCTCTGAGCCAGCTCTGCTACTTCTTAGCTATTTCATCTTAAACAAATTACTGAATTTCTTTGTGCCTTAGTTTCCTCATTTGTAAATGGGAATAAGAATACAGTAGGCCCTCTATATCTCTGGGTTCTGCATCCAGGATTCAACCAACCGCAGATGGAAAATATTTCCCCCAAAACTTACATTGTTGCTGACGTGTACTAGGTAGTTAGGCCTATGATGCTTGCATCTGTAGTGAACATGTACAGATTTTTTTTTCCTTTTCATTATTCCCTAATCAATACAGTACAACTATTACCATGGCATTTGCATTGTATTAGATATTACAATTAACCTAGAGATGATTTAAAATATGCAGGAGGGTGTGCATAGGTTATATGCAATTACTATGTCATTTTATAGAGGGGACTTAAGCATCTGCAAGTAAGATATCCACAGGGGTCCTGGAACCAATTCCCTGACTATACCAAGAGACAACTGTAGTACCTAACTCAGCATTTTTTAGGAGGATTAAACAGTTTAATTGTTGGAATACCTTCCTTACAGGGGTGTTATAAAGATGATAAGATGATGTGTGTAAATATTTAGCACAATTTGAAAGGGCTCAATAAAGAGTAGCTATTGATATTCTCATTATTATGGGTAGAAAGTTATGGTTGAGAGTAAGATTCTAGAGTGAATGCAGTTGTTCACAGCCCCCAGGGTTCTGACTTTATTTCTAGTCCTGAATCTTTTTTGTACCTTGAGCAATTTATTGGATGACGATGCCACTAACCAAAGTAGAAATCATAGGATGGATGAAGAGCAGTTGGGGAGAGGGAGGGCTAGACGATGAGCTCAACTGGGACATGGTGAGTTTGAGTTGAAGATTCCTGTCTGATGTCCAAGTGAAGGAATACAATAAGCAGCTGGATGTATGTGGGTCTGGAGAGGGAGAGAGATCCTGGCTAAATATGAAAGATCTAAGC